TGGGGAATTCTAGTGTAGAGGACTCAGCACTCCAGGACTAAAAACAAGGCCTCAGCCTTGGCTCACCAGGTCCCTCACTTTTCAGTACTCCACACGCGAGTGAGGTGCAAGGCTGGTGAGTGCCCCAGGCCAAGCTCACCACACTCGGGGAACACAGGGTGAGGGGACTGACCACGGTGAAGGCAGCACCCGAGAGGCTGCACATGCCTGGCCTTCCAGTGCAAGGTCTGGAGTGGAGGTGGGTTCTCCAGCATGGAGAACCTGCTGCTGAAAGCCCTTCCGGGTAATTTCTCATGGTTACTCTGCAGAGAGATTGTGGTGGCTGGAGGTACCCGGCTGTCTGGGGTTTTATCCTAGTTCATTTGGCTGCACACACATTAGCAAACTCCCCGCTGTGCGAAAAGGCCGCTGATGCGGTTGACAGCTGAATTCCAGAGAAAGGGGCCTCAAGTGCACCGTCTGGACCCCTCGGGGCACGGCAAGGCATGTGTCTGCGTGTGTGTGGAGTAGCATATTTTGTAAAGATCCAGTCAAGTGTGTCTGGGATGGGGCCTTCCTGTCACAATATTGAGATTGCTTTGTGGCCTCTGGGGTCAGACACTCCAGCTGTCAGCTTGCAGACATGAAGGACTCAGTGGCACAGAAACCTCATGGCAGGGCGCAGGCTGGAAAGTCACCTTAACCCAGCACTGACCAGGACCAGCGAGCCGCCCCCGAGCTGGTGGGTGGCAGCCAGTGTCTTCACCTGGGCCCCATCGGGACTGGAGCTTGTTTCTCCCACGTTCCCGAGTTTGAGTCTGAGACATTCACTGCAGGTTTGATTTTTAAAAACATCCACAAAAAAAATAATATAAAAAATGCACCATAGGCCAGGCGTGGTGGCTCACGCCTATAATCCTAGCACTTGGGAGGCCGAGGCGGGAAGATCACCTGAGGTCAGGAGTTCAAGACCAGCCTGGCCAACATGGCGAAACCCTGTCTCTACTAAAAATGCAAAAATTAGCTGGGCGTGGTGGCGTGCGCTGGTAGTCTCAGCTACTTGGGAGGCTGAAGCCGGAGGATCATTTGAACCCTGGAGGCAGAGATTGCAGTGAGCCAAGACTGCACCACTACACTCCAGCATAGGCAATAGAGTGAGACTGCATCTCAACAACAAAACAAAACAAAACAAAACATCATAAGCACCATACTTTGTAAACTGAAGTTTCATTACCAGGGGCTCACCAGAGCTGGGGATATCCAAGGGGTTGTGTCCCACACCCCAGGCCAGACTCGCCACTCCTGTGCATGTGACATACACATCCCATCATGCTAACATTCCCATGTTCTCACCACACACACATAAACCCTCCAGCCCAAACACAGCGTAACCAGAGGCATCCATTCACCATCTGTCCTGGCCAAAATCTATCCAGAGAAACTGCACACCTGCAATTCCTGAAACAGCATCTGCAACAAACCAGGGTGGGAGGCAGGAAGCCAAAAGCAGGAGCACACAGGGCCCGCCAGGTGCACAGAGCCCACCAGACACACAGAGCTCAGCAGGCACAGAGCCCACCAGACACACAGAGCTCAGCAGGCACAGAGCCCACCAGACACACAGAGCTCAGCAGGCACAGAACCCACCAGGTGCACAGAGCCCACCAGGCACAGAGCCCTGGCCAGCAGGCACATTGCTCACCTGCATCAGGGCTTTTCGGCCCAGATGTCAACAAAGTTAGAATCCAGGTGAGCATTTGGGCCCCCAGTGGTTATAAAGCTGAGCAATAAGTACAAAATCATGCCTGTCTTTTGTGCTCTGTTGCCCAGGCTGGAGTGCAGTGACATGATCTCAGCTCATGGCAACCTCCGCCTCCCAGGTTCAAGCAATTCTCCTGCTTCAGCATCCCGAGTAGCTGGGATTATAGGCACATACTGCTGCGCCCAGCTAATTTCTTGTATTTTAATAGAGACAGGGTTTCACCGTGTTGCCCAGGCTGGTCTCAAACTCCTGAGATCAGGCAATCTGTCCCGCTCAGCCTCCCAAAGTGCTAGGATTACAGACGTGAGCCACAGCGCCCAGCCATGCCTGTCTTTTTAACACCAACTCACCTTGTTCTACTAATTACATGAGGGTAACCTATCCCCTGGGCAGGGATCTCATGGGGCCGGGAGCAGCCTGTTGGCAAGGACAGAGCAAGGGCTGGCACCAGCAGGCAGCATTCAAAGAGGCTTGACTGTGGTTCCATGGACAGCTGGCTAGAGACTGTAAACAAAACTTAACTTCTAAACAAGTTAACAAGTAAGCGACAATTTAACTTCTTAACTTCGAATCAGCTTCTAAATTGATTGAGACCTGTCTCAGATATTCGTTGGTTTAGAAGTGTAGAAATATCTCTTTGAGACTTGGCTTTCAATTCTTTTTAATACATCCTCAGAAGTGGAATTGCTGGATCATATATAATTCTGTTTAATTTTTGAAGAAACTGCTATACTGTTTTCTACAGCAGCTTAACCATTTTATATTCCTACCAACAGTGTGCAAGTTTTCTAATTTCTCCACAATCTTACCAACATGTGCTATCTTTAAAAATTTTGTTTAATTTTGTTTAGTTTTTATAATAGCTATCTGAATGGGCATGAGGCAGTATCTCATTGTCATTTTGTAGTTTTATTTTGCATTTCCCTAATGTTCAGTGATGTTGAATATCTTTTCATGGGCATATTGGCCATGTGTATATCTTCTCTGGAGAAATGTCTAGAAGTCCTTTGCCCATTTTTGAATCAGGTTGTTGTTGAGTTTTAAGAGTTTTCTATATATTTTGGATATTAATCTCTTATCAGATATAGGACTTACAAATATTTTCTTCCATTCTGTGGGTTGTCTTTTCACTTCGTTGGTAATGTCTTAAGATGCACTTTTCTTATTTTTAGAAAGTCCCACTTGTTTGTTGCTTTGTTTTGTTTTTTGCTGCCTGTACTTTTGGTGTCATATCCAAAAAAATCGTTGCCAAATCCAGTGCCATAAAACTTTTGCCCTGTGTATTATTCTATAAGTCTTATAGTTTCAGGTTTTACTTTTAGGTCCTTAGTTTGGTTAGTTTTTGTATATGGTCTTGCTAAGGATCCAATTTCATTCTTTTGCATGTTGCTATCCAGTTTTCCCAGCACCATTTTTGAAAGATTATCTTTTCCCCACTAAATGGTATTGGCACCCTTGTCAAAAATCATTTGACCATACATGTGAGAGTTTATTTCTGGGCTCTATTCTATTTCATTGGTATATATATATATATCTGTCTTTATGCCAATACCACACTGTTTTAATTACTGTAGCTTTGTAGTTAATTTTGACATGAGAAAGTGTGAGTTCTTCAGCTTTGTTCTTTTTCAGGATTGTTTTGGCTACTTGCGGTTTCTTGAGATTCCATATAGATTTTAGAATGGGTTTCAAAAAAAATTGGGATTTTGATAGGGGTTGCATTGAATCTTTAGGTAGTATTGACATCTTAACAATATTAAGATTTCCAATCCATGAACACGGGATTTATGTCTCCTTTTTTTCAGAAATATTTCATAGATTTCATTGTAGAAGCCTTTCATTTTCTTGGTTAAGTTAATTTCTAAGTATTTTATTCTTTTTGATGCTGTTGTAAATGAAATTGTTTTCTTAATTTTCTTTTCAGACTGTTCATTGTTGGTGTAAAGAAATGCAACTGATTTTTGTGTGCTAACTTTGTATCCTGCAACTTTTCTAAATTCATTTATTAGTTCTACCAGTTTTTTATGTGTATGTGGAATCGTAAAGGTTTTCTATATTCACAGTTATATCACCTGCAGACAGATAATTTTATGTTTCTTTCCAATTTGCATACCTTTCATTCCTTTTTGTTGCCTAATTGCTCTGGCTAGAACTTCCAGTACTGTGTTGAATAAAAGTAGCAAAAGTAGGCATTCTTAACTTTCTCCTGATCTTAGAGTAAAAGCTTTCAGTATTTTCCCATTAGTAAGAACTAAGACTATAAAACTCTTAGAAGAGTTTATAGGAGTAAATCTTTGTGACTTTGAATTAAGACCTGTTTTCTCAGCCGGGCACAATGGCTCATGCCTGAAATCCCAGCACTTTAGGAGGCCAAAGTGGGCAGATCATGAGGTCAGGAGATCGAGACCATCCTGGCTAAAACGGTGAAACCTCGTCTGTACTAAAAAACTACAAAAAATTAGCTGGGCGTGGTGCTGGGTGCCTGTAGTCCCAGCTACTCGGGAGGCTGAGGCAGGAGAATGGCGTGAACCCGGGAGGCAGAGCTTACAGTGAGCCGAGATCGCGCCACTGCACTCCAGCCTGGGTGACAGAGCAAGACTTTGTCTCAAAAAAAAAAAAAATTGTAGGTGAATGTTTACAGCAGCATTGTTCATAATAGCCAAAATGCACAAGCAGCACAAATGCCAATCACCAGATAAATGAATAAACAAAATGTAGTATATCCATGCAATGGAATATTATTCATACATAAAAAGGAATGTCTCACACCTGTAATTCCAGCACTTTGGGAGGCCAAGGTGGGCAGATCACAAGGTCAAGAGATCAAGACCATCCTGGTCAACATGGTGAAACCCTGTCTCTATTAAAAATGCAAAAATTAGCTGGGCGTGGTGGCGGGTGCCTGTAGTCCCAGCTACTCAGGAGGCTGAGGCAGGAGAATCACTTGAACCCAGGAGGCAGAGGTTGCAGTGATCCGAGATCACGCCATTGCACTCCAGCTTGAGCAACAAGAGCGAAACTCCGTCCCCCTCTCCCCCGCTAAAAAAAAGGAATGTTCTGATACATACTACAGTGAGATCTTGAAAATACGATGCTAAATGAAAGAAGCCAGTCACAAATGTGGGGAAAAGAAAGAGAGATCAGACTGTTACTGTGTCTATGTAGAAAGAAGTAGACATAAGAGACTCCGTCTTGTTCTGTACTAAGAGAAATTCTTCTGCCTTGAGATGCTGTTAATCTGTAACCCTAGCCCCAACCCTGTGCTTGCAGAGACAGGTGCTGTGTTGACTCAAGGTTTAATGAATTCAGGGCTATGCAGGATCTGCTTTGTTAAAAAAAGTGCTTGAAGGCAGTCTGCTGGTTAAAAGTCATCACCATTCTCTAATCTCAAGTACCCAGGGACACAATATACTGCAGCGGCAGGGACCTAGGAAAGCCAGGTATTGTCCAAGGTTTCTCCCCATCTGATAGCCTGAGATATGGCCTTGTGGGAGGGGAGGGTCTGTGCTGAGGAGGATTAGTGAAGGAGGAAGGCCTCTTTGCAGTTGAGGGAGAAAACCGCCCTAGGGCTGGAGGTGAGACGTGCTGGCGGCAATACTGCTCTTTGATGCACGGAGATGTTTGTATACCTGCACATCAGGGCACAGCACCTTTCCTTAAACTTATTAATGACACAGAGACTTTGGACACATGATTTCCTGCTGACCCTCTCCCCACCATAGGGGAAATTGGGCCCTATTGTCCTGCCACATCCCCTTCTCCAAGATGGTAGAAATAATGATCAATAAATACTGAGAGAACTCAGACTGGTGCTGGCGCTTGTCCCCTGGGGCTGAGCGCTGGTCCCCTGGGCCCACTTTTCTTTCTCTATACTTTGTCTCTGTCTCTTATTTCTTTTCTCAGTCTCTCATCACACCTGATGAGAAATGCCCACAGGTGTGGAGGGGCAGGCCACCCCTTCAACAAATCGTGTATTGTACAATCCAGTCTATATGAGATGTCCAGAACAGGCAAATCTATAGAGACAGACAATAAATGTGTGGTTGCCAGGCACTGGGAGAGAATGGGGAGTGTTTGCTAATGGGCTTGGGGGTTTCTTTTGGGGGTAATGAAACGTTCTAAAATTAGATTGTGATAACGGCCACGAAACTCTATGAATACACAAAAATACATTGAATTGCGCACTTTAAATGGGTGAAAAGACCAGGTGTGGTGGCTTATGCCTGTTATCCCAGCACTTTGGGAGGGCAAGGGAGCAGGATTGCTTGAGGCCAGGAGTTTGAGATGAGCCTGGGCAACATAGTGAGACCCTGTCTCTACAAAAAATACAAAAATTAGCCAGGTGTGGTGGTGCGCACCTGTAGTCCCAGCTACTCAGAAGGCTGAGGTGGGAGGATCAATTGCATTCAGGAGTTCGAGGCCGCAGTGAGCTATCACTGTGGCAACTGTACTCCGGCCTGGGTGACAGAGCAAGAGCCTCTTTTTAAAAAAATTTTTTTTAAGGTTCTTAAAACATATGCAAAACATTCATGAATTTGCTTTACCTACAAGTTTGGCTGATCCTTTAGGTTATCATGTGTGCCTTTGCTACTACCATTGTTTGCAATCGCGTGTCTGTAACTGCGGTTTTTATTGTCCTTCTGCCCTATAATAGCTTAGAAGATGGTGTTTTTGCTTATTGGCTTGCTTTTGTTTTGGTGTGTTGTGTCTGTATTGTGATCCAGCCTAGGTTGAGAAAGACACTAAACATTTCCCTCTGTGTTCACACTGTTCTGAGTTCCCCCGTAACAAAAACACTGTTTGTTCACTTAACAACCATTTGTTGAGAATGTGCCATATCTCTTCAGATAGAGCAGAAACAAGAGAAGCAGAGTGACCGCCTTCACAGGACTTACATTTAGTGAAGAAACACGCAGCAAAGAAGTAAAGACATAAAGTCATCAATTGGAAGAATCTGTGTGGAGACCAAGAGTTCTGTGGGCCAGTGACAGAAAAGGCTACTGTGGGATGTAACATTTGAGCAGAGGAAGAACCTCTGCTGTGGGGGTCAGAAGAACGTCCTTATTTTGCTCTCACATATATAGTTTGGCCAGGTATAGAATTCGAGGTTCACAATCACATTGCCTGTGAAAAGCTTGGTGTTGGCCTGGTTCTGATTTTTATGTCTTCATAGGTAACTCTCAACTTCCTTTCCCTTGCCCCTGGAAAATTGTAGAGACTTCTATTTGTCGCTGGCATTCTAAAATTTCATGAACATTTTTCTGATGTGTTTTTCCCTCAGTTTTCCCACAATGCTCAGAGTGCTTGGAAAGCCTTTCAGTCTGAAGACCCATGTTTTAACTGTTTCTTAATCTCTTCTTCTCTTCTTACAGATTATTTCTCCCCCTTGCTCTCTCTGTTCCATTCTTCTCCAGTTCGGGGGAAATTGGGCCTCTAATTGCTTCTCTTGGTCTCTCAACATCTGTTCATGTTTTCCATGTCTTTATATTTCTTTCTCTGCACTCTGGCAGAATTCCTTGTTTTATGTTTCCAGCCACTTTATTCAACTTGGGGTAGGACTGGGCAGAGGCAATCAGGACTTTGAGGGTCACAGTAACCTATTTCTGGTCCTGGGTGGTGGTTCCCAGGGGGGTTTTTATTGCAATCATTTGTTGAGTAGCACAACTGTTTTATGCCTTTCATCTGTAAATAGATTGCATTTCACAACTTTTTAAAAAGTTGAACAAACTCTCTAATCCTCAGATTGCTCCTTTTTCTCAGAAGATGTTGTTCTGTGAACGCAGCCACTTCTTAAAGGTCTGTGAGGATACTCAGAATTTTTAAAAGATTCTCTCCTCTTACTTTGATTGCCTGTTAACCTTGGCCTTTTGTTTTGGTGGTTCTGGTTTTTCTAGAGTGTCTGGCAAGCCCTGCCTACCATTTGTGTATTATGGATGAAGGCGAGAAAGGTGTCTCCTGCATTGCTGGCCTCTCCCACGGGAGAGAAAGCAACATCAGAGAGGCCAGTAGCCCCACTGGAGGCCCGACGACCAGGCATGCTTAAGGAATTCATGAGGTCCACTGCAGAGGAGGCTGGGATGGAGGTGAGGGGAGGACGGGGGACAGGAGGGCTAGGGGCTCTGGTGGGTCACCAATAGGCCATCCGGAAAGGTGGGGGAGCAACTATGTGTCAGAAGCCCATCAATATAGCACCTCACCACCAGGAGTATGAGTCTGGTGTTGAATGAACGTGAGCCCACAGCTTCATGTGTGCTCAGCCAGGGAGGCTGTGTGTGGCTCAAGGCTGGGAGGGAATTGGCAGCTAGAACCTCCCTAAGGGCTGGCGTCAGCCCCTGGCACAGCTGGGTTTACAGGAGTTGGGTGGCCCATGGCTGTTCTGACTCTTGAGTGACATGCAGTGGGGCTCTGCAGCTTTTCCACTTTACCTGGAGGCCGTGAGGGACTGAAGGGAGAAGACCAGGGAGGCACCAGAGGTTGTGGGCTCCCCCACCCCGGGAACTGTGTAGACCCTTCCTGGAGTCCTCATCTCCTCCGGTGTCTGCTCAATCGTCACTTCCTGAAAAATGTATTTTCTTTATTTTCATTTTTATTATTTTTACTTTTATTGAGATGAAGTCTTGCTCTTGTCGCCCAGGCTGAAGTGCAGTGGTGTGATCTCGGCTCGCTGCAACCTCCACCTCCCAGGTGTGCTTTGCAGGAGGACTTGCAAGCAGAGGTCACCAGTGAGCACAGGTGTCTCAAAGAAGGGTGGAAGTTCTAATGTCCGTCAGTTACCCATAAGAATGCTGTTTGCTGCAGTTCTGTGTCCTGTGCTTGGCTGCTTTTTATGAGTTGTCTATGTTGGAAATTCGTAAAACTGATTTAAGTTAAAAAAAAAAAAAAAAAAAGAAAAGGAGAATGTTTAGGTTGCATCTATTCTTACCTAATTAAAACTTACTAAAATGTAATAATTTGTTCCATCACTTTTTAGACTTGTAAATATTTGCACATCCTCTCACTATGGATAAAAGGGGCATTTTACATCTAGACAGGTGGTGAGATCTCTAACCAAGGGGAGAGGGAGGCTTTCACTCAGTTGCTTTTCCAAGGACTGTCTGTGGTCGGGGGCCTGGGAATTCCCCTCCACACCTCCCTGGTCCCTCGGGACGCTGCTGCAGGTCCTGACTGGACGAGAAGCAAGGGCTGAGCGGGCCAAGGGGCCGCTGTATGCTGGGCCTGGCCACTGCCCGAGGGAAGGGGTGTGACTTGTGTCTGGGTAGCCCTGGCTGGATGTGGGGTCCCAGGAAGCACCACCCTCAGTGCAAGTATTCAGCTGCCGACAGGAGCTTACGTCACAAGGCCAGCCAGCCGAGGCTTTCTCTTCACAAGCAAAGTGTCAGAAACGAAACCCACACCCTCACGCACCATTACCCCCCTCCACTGGGCGGTGAGAGGTGGGCGGTGAGGAAGGGATCCTCCATCCTGGGCTCACTGTCCATTCCACCATGGCCCTCCACCGCCGGGCCCTGCAACAGCTTGAAGGCTCCCACTCCCAGGCCGAGCTGGCTGGAGACGCCACATCCTCGTCATGCTCCTTGGCTGTTACTTATGCCTTTCACACTCTCCTCCAACTTCCTCCCCAAGCTTCACCCTCCTCGCTGCCTGCAGATAACTCTCACTGCAGAGGGACAGGAACCTCCAATGAGGCCTTCAGTACCTAACCCTGCCCCACACTTCCACAACACTCTCGTCATCACCGAGGACAAGGCACTCCTCAGCCCTTCCAGGACTTGGGACCTCTCACTCTGGAGCTTCAGTTCCAATCTCCCTCAGGAAGCAGCAACCTCTCCCTCTGGTAGATCTCCAAATTCTACAAACACGCTCTACCAAGATGACTGGTTGCACCTACCAAGATCACGTTTTCTTCTTCCCACCCCCATTTCTCAAACACACACACACACACACACACGAACACCTTGTTGGTTTTGTTTCTCTAGAAAACCCCAATACAGATTTTGTTAGCAAGAAGTGGGGTGCTACTGAAACAAACACCTAAATACATGCAAGCAGCTTCAGAATCGAGTCATATGCAGAGGCTGGAATCATTTTAAGGAGCTTGCTAGAAATACGGACATCAGGGTGATTCTGATGAGTCTCAGGTGGAACTGAGGAGCATGTTATTGGAAACTGGGGGAAAGGCCATCCTTGTTAGAAAGTGGCAAAGAACTTTAAAGAACTTGGCTGGACTGTGTTCCAGTGTTTTACAGAAGGCCAGACAAAGGTGACGAAACTGAATATTTAGCTGAGGAGAGATTTCTTTTCTTTTGTTTTCTTTCTTTACTTTTCCTTTCCTTTTTTTTTTTTTTCTTTTCCTTTTTTTTTTTTTTTTTTTTCAGACAAAGTCTCACTTTGTTGCCCAGGCTGGAGCACAGTGGCACAATCTTGGCTCACTGCACCCTCCACCTCCCCGGTTCAAGCAATTCTCCTGCCTCAGCCTCCCGAGTAGCTGGGATTACAGGTATACACCACCACACCTGGCTAATTTTGTACTTTTAGTAGAGATGGGGTTTCTCCATGTTGGCCAGGCTAGTCTCAAACTCCTGACCTCAGGTGATCTGCCTGCCTCAGCCTCCTAAAGTGCTGGGATTATAGGAATGAGCCACGGCACCCAGCCTAGCTGAAGAGATTTCTAAGCAAAGTGTTGAAGGGACACCTTGGTTCCTCCTGGTTGCTTGTCATAAAACGTGAGAGAGATGAATTGATGAAGGAATTATTAAGCAAAACAGAATCAGAACTTGAAGATTTGGAAAATTCTCAGTCTATCCATACTGCAAAAATATGAAAAAGCATGTTCTGAAGACAACACTAAGGTTGTGACTGAACAATTGTTTGATAAAGAAATCATGGTACAGCTCATTAATCAGCCATCTCAGAGGAAGGGGGTGGAACAGTGTTGGGTTGTCAGACTTCTGGATTCCACAGGACCAACCCACAGAGCTGCTGGGCTGCAAACATGCACCACTCTCCAAAGAAGGGAAGGAATGACCCGTAAGGTGCTACAGAGAGCATCAGAGCCACCACTTCCACCCCAGACCCAAGGGACGAGACCACTTCTTCCTGTTTCAAAGATGGCCTCCCTGGTCTTGCAGGCCTGTAAAGTGGGCTGCCCTTGCAGAGAGAAACCAGGTGAGGGTGGCCTCGCCAAGTCATGGCTGTGACACTGCCACCCCAGGGGCCCGGGGCCACAGCACCAACCAAAGAGGATCATTCTCGAGCCCTAGGATCTGATGGAAATTGTCTTGCTAGGTTTTGGGCTTGCTTGAGACCTGTGATCCCTTCCTTCTACTTCTCCCTTTTGAAATGGGGGTGTCTACCCTAGGCCTGACCCATCTTTTTACTCTGGATGCACATCACACGTGCTACTTCTCCCTTTTGAAATGGGGGTGTCTACCCCAGGCCTGGCCCATCTTTTACTCTGGATGCACATCACACATTCTACGTCTCCCTTTTGAAACGGGGGTGTCTACCCCAGGCCTGACCCATCTTTTTACTCTGGATGCACATCGCACGTTCGGTTTCACAGGCTCACAGCCAGAGAGGGAATTTTGCCTCAGGGTGAATCATAGCTCGAGTCTCACCCACGGCTGATTTAGGTGATATTTAAATAAGATTCTAGACTATAGAGCATCTAAAGACGAGTTAAGACTTTGGGGGCTGCTGGGGTGGAATGTATTTTCTATGTGTATTTTGAGGGGCCAGAAGCAGAATGCTATGGACTGAATTGTGTCTCCCCAAATTCCTGTGTTGAAGCTCTAATCCCCAATGTGACTGTTGTGGGACATGTGGCCTTTACAGAAGCCATTCAGGTCAAATGAGGCCATAGGATGAAGCTCTGATCCAGCAGGATTAGTGCCCTTACAAGAGGAAACGCAAGAGCACTCCCTTTCTCTCTCCTGCCAAGTAAGGGCACAGGGAGAAGGTGCCTGTCTGCCAGCCAGGAAGAGCAGCCTCAGCAGGAACTGAGGCCAGCACCTTGGTCTTGGTCATCCCAGCCTCCAGAGTTGTGAGAAATAAATTCCTGCTGTTTAAGCTGCCCAGTCTGTGGTATTGTTATGGCAGCCTGAACCAAGACAGAGACTCTACAAGCAGACAAGAACATCAGTAAATATCCAACTAGGTGAACAACACAAGTAGTAAGCTGGATCTAAATTACGTATTTGGAGCCCTGCACTCAACAACAGAATACACTTTCTTCTCAAGTGCATACGAATAGCGGACGTGTACCGACTCATAAAACAAGTTTCAACAAATTTCAAGGGATTAGCATTCCTCAATTTGTTTTCTGGCCACAGTGGAATTAAGCCAGAGATCAATAAGAAAAAGTAACTAAAAAATCCCACCTTTCAAAATTAAGCCGCATGCTTACTTCTAAAAAGCCCATGGTACACCAGAAGAAATTGTCACAGAAATCAGAAAACGTTTGAAACTGAGTGATACTGAAAATATATCAAAATTCATTGTTGCATCTAAAGCAATTTTAAAGAAAATTAAGAGTTCTGATCTATGTATTAGAAAGAAGAAAGGTTGAAATCAACGATTTAAGCTTCTATCTCTAGGGGGAAAAAAATAAAGTTTAACCCCTCTCCTCACATGAACAACAAAAATCAATTCCAGGTGGAGTATATGATCTAAGTGCAAGAGAAAACAATACAAGCTATAAAAGAAAATATAATTTCAAATTGGACAATATAACATTTAAGAACTTCTACTTATCAAAATACTCCTATTAAGAGCACAAAAAGCCACAGAGGCTGGGCATGATGGCTCACACCTGTAATCCCAGCACTTTGGGAGGCCGAGACAGGTGGATCACCTGAGGTCAAGAGTTCGAGACCAGCCTGACCAACATGGTAAAACCCCATCTCTACTAAAAATACAAAAATCAGCTGGGCATGGTGGTAGGCGCCTGTAGTCCCAGCTACTCGGGAGGTTGAGGCAGGAGAATCCCTTGAACCCTGGAGGTGGAGGTTGCAGTGAGCCGAGATCGTGCCATTACACTCCAGCCTGGCGATGGAGCGAGCCTCTGTCTAAAAAAAAAAAAAAAAAAAAAGCCACTGAAAGGAAAAAGATATTCACAAAAATATGTGTTACAGGACTCAGCCAGACTACATCAGGAATACCTGGAATCTCAATTAGAACTAGAAAAAAAAAAAAAAACCCTAATAGTAAAATGGGCCAAAGACTTAAACAAGCACCTCAAAAACAGGATATCCAAATGAGCAGCAAATCTACAAAACTGGATTAGTCATCAGTGAAATATATACCAAATCCACACGCCCACCAGAGCAGGTAAAATGCAAAACACAACACTGGGTGTTGATGAGGATGCCAGCTCTCATGCACAGCTGGCAGCGATGTTAGATTCCTTGACTTGAAAAGCTGGTATACAGTGTACATCCAACAGAAATGTGTACATACACGCACCAAAACACACACACAGAAATGTCCACAGTCTCAGTAATCATAATAGCTGAACCCTGGCAACAACCCAAAAGGACACCATGTGAAATAAGATTCATAAACTGTGGTCTATTCATGCAGTTGAATACTTATGCCACAGTGAAAAAGTAAGCCACAACCACACTGTCTGAAACTCATAGATGAGTCTCACAATGTTTAATTAAAGAAGGCAGACACAAAAGAACATGTGTACAATTCCATTCAGGCAAGAGTAATCGACAGTTACAAGTCAGGACGCCACCCTCGAGAGGGTGGGCACTGAGCGGAAGGGGAATCAGGGAGTCAGTAGCGTGTCCTGGACTGGAGGCTGGTTACATGTGCATCCACTTTATAAAATACCATCATCTAGGTACCCACGGCCAGTGCTGTTTTCAATATATATTTGATATTTCAGTTTTGTTTTTTGGGTTTTGAGACAGGGTCTTGCTCTGTCACCCAGGCTGGAGTACGGCAGTGCGATCCTAGATCACTGCAGCCTCAACCGCCTAGGCTCAAGTGATCCTCCCACCTCAGCCTCCCGAGTAGCTGGGACTACAAGCACATGCCACCATGCCCAGCTAATTTTTGTATTTTGTAGAGATAGGATCTCACTATGTTGCCCAGGGTGGTCTTGAACTCCTGAGCTCAAGGAATCATCCCACCTTAACCTCTCAAAATGTTGGGATTACAGAGGTGAGCCACTGCACTCAGCCTATATTTCAATAAAATTTAATAAAAATCAAAACACACAAAAAAATGTATCTACTGATATGGAAGTTTTTTCACAATACTGAGAAAAAGTTACAAAGCAATGCATATAGTATGATCCTGTAATTACAAAAAATAACACATATGCGTAAAACAGGATACACAATGACGTTCACTCATTTAAAAATATTTATTGAGCATGTGCAATGCGCCAACACATAATTTATTTGGAAGACGTCTACAAAACTATCCCATGCAAAGTCCCATCGCGTGCATCGCCACCTCAGCTCCCGCGCTGAGCCAGGGCGGTGTTCCCTACACAGCACTGGCACAGCCCTGTGCAATCCTACATCCCACACGAGCGGATGAGCGATGGCAGGAAGGGCACCACTAACACAGGAGGCGGGAACAGTCACTGTCACAGGGTACACAGGCTGATATGCGGGCGTTCTAGGAGTGTGGACCTAGACCTAGCTTAGGAACATGGAGCTCTGACCTAGCCACGGGTCAGCACTGTGGACACCACGGGTGAACACCTAGAAACACAGCCTACTTCTAGAGGGCAGACACTGGGCAGCGGGGGTGGCCACGGCAGCTCCTGCCGAGCCCAAGCGTGTTTGTCTGTGAAGGGCCCTGACGTCACCTGCCAGGCTGGGGAGGGGTCAGTGTGGCACGAACGTTCACCGACTTCGAAGGAGTGTGCAGCAGCCAGGTGCATCTTGGGTTGCTTGTGTTCGTCACCCCTCAGGAGACGCACACGGCTTTCCAAATAAAGCCTCAACTGTCATCTCCAGATTGGGAACACTTTTTCTCCAACCTGAAAAAGATAAATGACAACAGGTCAGTCAGATAATAAATCATATGATTAACACACTACATTTCCTAATGGTTTGATATTGGACAAGAGAGCAATATTCAGGTGCAGAATTTTCTTAAATGACAAACTTTTAACAAAAAATTATCACAAAGCAAAGCACAAAACAAATATAAAAAATGAAGGAAAACCATTTATTTTTATTTTCTTTACCACATTAATCCTGAGTCCAAAGAAGAACATTCCATTTTCAGCGGCCTCTGAGACAGGAAGCCCAAGTGAGCTGGGCGAGCTACACATGAATTCATGCACGGACCCAAAGGCTGCCAGTCGGAACACACATCACGGACAACACACCTAGATGAACTGCTGCCTGGGAAGCCACAGAGGCCTGTGTAAAGGGAGCGCCGAGGCACAGCTCAGGCTTCTGCCCATCTGGGGACCCCTCTGGACATGGCACGAGGGGCCTCAGGCTGATGTGGGTCTCTGCTCTCCCTCACTTACTGTGTCACCTGAGGAAATGACTTCCCTGCCAGAGCCCTCCACTTCCTGTGCTGTCAGATGGGAAACGAAGCCAGTAACAGCATGCACTTTCTGTGTATTAAATCACTCGTGCGCAAAACGCGTGGGCCCCAGCGTGGGCCAGCATCTGCCATCACTACCACCACCCAGGCCTGTCTCCCTGAGGACCGGCACCCACAGGACAGAATCTTACAAATACATATCTTACTTTTTGAGATGTGGGGTCTTGCCTGGAAGTGACAGCCCAGCTCAGAGCCACCGACATGTGCCTTCTCCACACTGGGTTTCTCTGCAACACAACTGAACCCGTGACCACGTCTCCAGTATGGACAGGGACTGGGTCGTCCATCATAAACAGCGTCTGCTTCCAGTGTGTGATGCTGCAAGACAGGGGTGTGTGTGACCTGGAGGCTGGGCGAGGGCAGTCTCCACATGGCCCTCGGGGCGCTGACTCAGGCTCCCACTGGCTCTCACCCTCAGCAGAACCCACGTGGCTGGCAGTCCACCCTGAGGGCCTGGGGACACAAAGCTTGACTTTTCAGGCTAACTCAGGGGGCAGATACACCCCCAGCCCTGTGATCTAAAGGGACTCTATGAGATACACTGGGATCAAAGTTACGCTGGTGAGACAGATCCTGCCAATGCCAAACACAAGGCTGCTCCTGAGACCACTCAGATTCCTGGAGGTGTGGACGGCTCACCCTGGGTGGCCCAGAGGATGTGGAAGCTCAGGGGACACACGGCTGCACTAAAGGTCCTGTGTGGTGTCCGACTCTCCGGCCTGCCAGGAGGACGGCTGGGCACCCCCTTCCTGTGCCCTCGCCTAAGCTGCAGAGGCTGGTGATCTAGCTCCTGCCATTAAACTGTGGTGTACACGGATGGAATCAGGTCCAAGGAGTCGCTTCTGTGATGGCTACAATGTGAGGACCACTGTCACGTTTGGGGGAAAATAGTAAAACGCTAGGATTCTGCACTGGGTTGCGCTGGAAACTTCTCTAAGTTCTTCAGGCTCTGCCGCCCCTCAAACTCCCACTGTCCACAGTGGGGCCAACAGTGAAATGGGGGGCTCCTCAGGTCTCCAGTTTCTCCCTGACTCTGGTCACACCTCACCCCAGCCTGTGCCCCAGGTCACTGCTCCCTCCATGCCCCCAGACTCGGGGGTGGGTATAACCAGCCTCCAAGCTGCCCACCTCCACTCGGTGACGGCACTACAGAGGTTACCACAGGACTCTTGTGATGGGGACCACGTGCCAGGCCAGGGCATCAACTCCACACGTCTGCGACCTCCCTGGAGCCGGGGTCCCCTCGTGGGGCCATCACGCTGGGGAGTCAGCAGGGCAGGTGCCAGGGCGGGGCAGGTGCCAGGGCGGGGCAGGTGCCAGAGCGGGGCAGCCAACCCCACCCCAGTTCCAAAGGGAAGGCCTGCTGGGCCCCAAAGGCGGCTCCACCGCCACGCGTGTCCAGGATGCTGGAGGGGAAATGTGTCCCAAAAAACAACCATCCCTCCAAAACCCTCCAAAGCCGTCAGGTGAACCCCTACGTCCTGCGGAGGCGCTTTGGGTCGGACCATGAATTAGCCGTGGGTGCTCCTCAGGGGCGGGAAAACAGGGAGCTCCTCCCGCTGGGGCTGCTGGGGGTGGGGGTGGACGCCCCAGGCTGGGCCCAGAGTGGGGGCGAGACCCGGAAGGAGGCACACAGGCTGCGGTGTCTACACCACCCTGCGCCCCCACGCGCGCCGCCCCCACCCCACGTGGCCCACCCGCCACGACCGCCACGCCGCGTCCCGCCCCCTCCTGCGCGCCCCATCCCCGCGCCCGCCCCGCCCTCCGCGCCCCCCACCCCGCACCCCGCGCCCGCCCCCGCCCCGCCCTCCGCGCCCCCCACCCCGCACCCCGTGCCCGCCCCGCCCTCCGCGCCCCCCACCCCGCACCCCGCGCCCGCCTCGCACACTCACGGGTGGAAGGGCCCGGTGCTGAGCACCTGCGGCGGCTGCCCCTCCTGCAGGCTCTGGAAGTGGACGCTAAACCAGGCGGTGAAGCCGTGCAGGGTCCCTGCCTTCCTGATGTCGAAGCGCAGGTCGCCCCTCAGGGTCTGGGTCAAGCAGACGACAAGGCACGCGTGGGCACCGCGTGGCACCGCAGGGCCGGGATGGGGCGGCCCCCTCCGCGCGCCCCGCGCAGACGCTGAACGCGTCAGGAACCGCAGAAAAGCCCCCGCCCTGGGAAACCACCCCCAAAACCCGCATCACGAGTTCAGACGCTTCAGTCAGAAACGTGTCAAGCAATCTGAGCTGCTTGCGCCCAGTTTTCTGCCCCAGATTCCTGCGGAATCTTTTCGGCGCTCAGCTCTTCAGCCTAAGGCGTTGGAGAGCTCCAGGCTGGGCGTTTCCACGCAGAACCAACTAAAAACCACGGCTGCGCCCGCGCCGCCCACCCCATCTCCAGACGCGGCGCCAACTGGGCGCCAGGCAGGGCGGGGCACGGGGATCCCGCCCAGAACCCACGAGCGCCACCGCGCGGCCACAGACAGGGATTCGTGGAGGGAATTTTAACAGTTCTGTCATGAAGGGTGGCTAAAAACACGTGAAAAAAAACTGTAATGCAAATACCATAATGAAACGAAATATAATTTATTTGATTTTGAAGATGCTGAGAATATTAAACATAAATCTAAAATGAAGACGCTAGAGACATCTATAAAGAAAATGATGTACAATATGAAAGAATCAAAATAGAACGTAAAGAAGAAAAAAGACTGGAAAAAATCAGTAGCAAACGTTTTATAAATTCACTTATTTGTATAATAAAATAATTAGTTACTCACACCCCCAGCGCTCACTGAAGGTTTATGATAATCTGGTCTGTTTCATGGTCACTGATTATCTAATGTAAGGAGCAATTCATCTTTTTCTCACCTCTAAATCAGAAATTTGCACGGTTCTCATGTCCAACTGCAATATAGTGCACGGTTCAGAGAGACAGTCTTCTGGTTTCAAAATGTGGTTATACTTGGGCTTTGAAAAAAACTCCTTAATTGCTAAAGATCTAGGGGAAAAGGTCAAAGCAACTGTTGAGAGTCATTGCAAACATCTCAGGCTTCAAAACACACACGTGGGACCGCGGTGAGTGCTTTCTCTTCTGTGTCACCAGGATGCTAAGCCACCGTCTGGGGGCCCTGGACCCCCAGAGCAGCCCTCAGGCCTCCAGAGGCTCTGGGTGCCTCCCACTCTGAGAGGACCCAGACCCTACCCAGGCATCCAGAGCCTTCCCGAGCCTGACCTGGAGGCATTCAGGAGCCTGCGAGTCACTGGGCGCTTCCCTGTGACGTCTCATTCATGGGATCTGAGCACATGGAAACCAACGCTTACCCCTCATAACCTAGAGGACAAGGGCAGTTGCAGCGTGTCTTGCCTAGTTTTAGAATCTATTTGATTTCAAAATATCTTTTGTGGATTTTCTATTAACAGTAAATGAAAGCGGTATTCCTGCTGTAGGTTACTCTATAATAAACGTTAAGGAACTAGAAGAGCTGAGGTGGCCTGAGTGAGTCCGAGTTTCAGGAGAAATACTTCCTTTGTTGTTACACAAATTCAACACAGAAACAGACACTAGATGCCACATGGCCCCCTGTGTGTCACCGTTTGCCAACCGCCATCACTGGTTGCACTGGGCTTGTCAGTAAGTCACCTATTATTTACCACAGAAATGTTTTAAAAAATAAGCAAAGCAGTAACTTCTGAAATAGCAAATAAAAGTGAATGTTTTAATAAAGATTTCACTATATTTACATATTTCTGATTATTTTTCTGATAAAAAATTACGAATTTAAAAATTGGAAAAAATGGACAAGTACAAAGAAAAGTTTAAATTCCCCATATGCTTGTCTTAGCATTGTGATATTTTTATCCCCCAGACATATTTATATAAATTTATTTATGCAAACTAACATCCATTCTGTATACATGGTTTATTCTGCCAAGCTTTACTGTCTCTTAAACCCTTTCTAAATATCATTACACATCCTTAAAAACCTATGGTTTCTTTTTCAGCAGCTGGACCGCAGTGCTCCACCAGATGGATACACAGCAATTCAACCACGTTCCTCTAGATGGCCACTGACTTCCAGTGCCCGGAGGAACACTCAGGTGGGAGGCTCTGGCAGTGACTGGGGTGGGCGGCCTGATGCCAACCTCTAAGGCCCCGGCAGCCACACCTCCCTGCCACTGCCAGGCAAGCCCAGGCTACTATTTTAATTTACTCTTTGCTTGTCGGGTAGGGAAAACAGCATGTATTTTAATTTGCATTTTAACTACTAACAACATTATAATTTTTCATAATTTATTGGTAATTTTATTTTTTGTAGTTTGCCTGTTCACGTGATTGGGCTGTAATTCCATCTGGCTAGTCATCTCTTTCTAATTGATTCCAAGACCTGTCAGCACATGATTTCTCTAATTACTTGTTTGCTTTCACAGTCGCGTTTTTGCTGATTTCTACCACATAGACTGCCAGATTCTATCTAGCACAGGGTCCATTCCATCCATTGTTGCTGCTCATTTCTCCACCTAAGATGGTGCACACAGGCCCCCATGGATGTCTGTCGTTGATGTTGATTCCATGCAGAATTAAGTTTTCACGTATGGCGTGAGAGAACAAGAGCTAATCAATTGCTCCAGAATAATATGCTGACTCGGCCCTCACTCCCTCCTAATTGTAATGCAACCTTTTTCACATACGAAAAAAATTTTTGTTCCTTGCATTCTACCCTGCTCTGCTCATCTGTCTTTTCTTGTTATAGCACCATACTGTTTTAATTACTCCAATGCTATAACAGATTGTCCTATCTGGGTGCACAGGTACCCTCATTTATCCGACCATAGTGTGTGATCTCCCAGGGCCTTGGCCCACCTGCAGACTGTGGACCAGGAGGCCCCACAAGACAGTGCCAGTCCTAGCTGTGGACACTTACTTGAGAGCGCTGAGGTTGAACTCGTACGCGTTGTCCCAGAAGAGCACCTTGCTACGATAGTCCTTATCAGCACTGCAGGGCACAAGGTGCAATGCGGCCATGGTGGGCCAAATGACCCCGTCCTCCTTCAGCCAGGCATCCCGGGCATACAGGATGGACTCGATCATGAACTCAAACTGCATAGGAGTGAAAGACACACAGGAGACACATCACAGGCCCTGTGGCTGCACAGGCCTCTCACCACCACTTTAATATTAAACACTAGTCCAAGAGTTCTAGTTTTAGCCTCAAGAATATTCCTGCCTAGGCCAGTGTACCATGCGAGAGAACATCTCGAGGGTTTATTTTATGCCCACATGTAATGGTCACTGATGCATCTCACAGCCTGGGTTTAAGTCACATAATTTCCCATTAGAACTAAGAACTGGAGAGGAGCTAAAAGCAAGGACAAATCTTCACTCTTGTCCCGTCTCAGTCACTGAAGAGTTCGTAACTACCAGATTCTGAAAGAGCCCTGAAGTGTTGCAGGATCCCAACTGTTAAATAAAATATATTTGGTCTGTAGTACTCTCCAAATTTCCACAGCCCTTTAAGTAGACTGAAATCACTCCTTAAGAAACCGAAAGCCACGCAGGCATGCCCTGGCCATTCACATGGTCCTTTGGTCCACCTTGCATCCCTCAGAAGGTCCCAAGTCAAGGGAAGCACATCACATCTATGACTGAGGAATTGGGGACCCAGCACCCTCAAAGGCCAGGCCTTCTGTCGGAACCAGAACTTGCTTCTAACACAGAAAGGAGTAGAGGGAGCACCAGAGAGGTGGGGCCAAGGCCTGTGGCCCTTGCAAGCCACCCAGGAGCCTGCACTTCATCCTGTAGTTGACGAGAAACAACAGAAGTGTTTTGCTTCCCTTAAATAATCTCAAGCCGGTTTTATTATAGAAGTACTACATGTTTTGTATGGAAAATGTAGAAAAACTATGAAGACTCAAACAAAAATAAAAATCACATATTAACCCAGTACCCAGAAGGAACCACTGTTATCACTCTGCAGCTTACCTTCAAGTATTTTTCTACACATGCACACAAAAAATATATACATCTAATTTTTTAATCTCATTTTTTCAGTTATAAAGTGAAACTGAGCTTTTTTGGTGTACAGTCTACGAACTTTAGCACTTGTGTGGATTTTGTCCTCACAACCACAGCCAGCATACACACAGCTCTGCCACCCCAAAACACTCTTCACACTTATCTCTGGTGGTCATGCCGTCCCCCACCCCAGCCTCTCAAGCCACCAATCTGGTCTCCATCCCCATGGTCTTGTGTCTTTTTGAGAATATCGTATAAATGGAACCAGACAGTATATAACCTTTCAAGGCAAGCTTCTTTCACTCACTGTACTGTTTCTGGGGTTCCTCCAAATTACCTGTTTCAATAACTGGCTCCTCTTCACTGCTCAGTGGTATTCCGCTGTGTGGATGTACCAGTTTATCCTTAAGGATTATCCTGATGAAGGACACTGGGGTTGTTTCCAGTTTTTTTTTTCGCAATTATAAAGAGAGCTAGTATAATCATTCACATACAGGTATTTGTGTGAACACAGCTTGCATTTCTCTGGGTTGAATACACAGGAGAGGGACTCCTGGGCATAAGGTGAGTGCACATACAACTCTGTAAGAAAGCACTCACCTGTTTCCACAGTGGCATGAGCCCTCCAGCAATGCACGACTTTCAGCTATTCCTCATCCTCGATGGCACTTGGTATTAGCATCAGATTTTTTTTTTTTTAGTCATTTTTCAGTAGGTGTGATATCTCACCGTGGCTTTAATGTGTATTTCCCTGATGGCTAACAATGTTGAACATCTTTTCATGTGTGTATCTGATATCTGTATATCCACTTTGGCAAAGTGTCTGTTCTTTTGCCCATTTTCAATTGGCTTGTTTTCTTCCTGTTTTGAGATTTCTCTGTATATTCAGAACATACACTGGATATATTCTTTGCGATATTTTCTCCTAATCTTAGCTTGTCTTTTTTATTCTCTTAGTATCATCCCTTTGTAGAGCGGTCGTTTTTAGTTTTGATGAAATTCAATTTATCAACGTTTTCTGTTATGGATCATGCTTTTAGAGTCGCATCTAAAAACTCTTTGCCCAAGTCTAGGTGATGAAGATTTTCTATGATTTTTTCAAGAAGCTTTATAGTTTTATATTTTACACACTTAGATCTATGATCAATTTTAAGTTCAGCTCTGGATAGGGTGTGAGGTTGAGGTATTGTTTTTTACATATGGATGACAACTATTCCAGTAACATTTGCTGAAAAGACTTTTTCTCCATTAAACTGATTTTTGTCCCTTTGTTAAAAAATCAATTGACTGTATATGTAGAAATCTATTCTTCTTCTCCATTCCATTGACTTACATGTCTGTCCCTTCACCAATACCACACTGTCCTGAATACTGTAGCTTTAAAATCAAGTAGTGTAGTTCCTCCAACTTTACTCTTCTTTTTAAAAACTGTATCAGCTACTCTAGTTCTCTCAGTCCATTTTTGTGTTGCCAAAAAGGAATATCTGAGGCTGGGTAATTTATAAAGAAATGAGGTTTATCTGGCTCATGGTTCTGCTGTTTGGGAAAGTTCAGGATTGGGCATCTAGTGAGGGCTTCAGGCTGCTTCCCCTCACAGTGGAAGGAAGGCAAAGGGAAGCTGGCACATGCAGAGACCACAGGGTGAGAGCAGAGGCAAGTGGGGGTGCCAGGCTCTTTTTCACAACCAGCTCTTGTTGGGACCTGAGAGAGCGAGAACTCACTTATTTACCCACGAGGAAGGGCATTCATCTATTCATGAGGGATCCACACCCATGACCCAAACACTTCCCACTAAGCCCCACCTCCCAACACCACCACACTGAGGATCAAATTTCAACATAAGATTTGGTGGGGACAGACCATAGCACTAGTTCCTTTACATTCCACATACATTTCATAATGAGCTTATCTATAAGAACAAATCCTGCTTGGATTCTAATTGGAATTTTATTAAGTCTACAGATCAATTTAAGAAGAACATACATCTTTACTAGGTTGAGTCTTATCTCTCCATTTATTTAGGTTTTCTGAGATTTCTTTCATTATCATCTCATCATTTTCGGCATCCAGATCATGTTTTGTTAGATTTCTAAGCCTTTCATATTTTTGAAGCTACTGTAAATAATATTATTTAATTTCTAATTGTACACTGCAAAGATATAAAAATGACTTCTGTATCATGACCTTGCTAAACTCCCTTACTAGTTTTAGGAAATTTTCCCATAGATTCCTTAGGATTTTCTGTAGGTTTTTTTGTAGATGTCCTATGTCATGTTAAATTTCCTTCCATTTCTAGTTTGCTGAGCATTTTATCACGAACTGATGTTGAATTTTGTCAATTTTTTTCTGTATTAATTGATATGGTCATGATTTTTCTTCTTCAGACTGTTAATATGGTAGATTACACTGATTGATTTTCAAATATTGAACCAGCCTTGCATTCCAAGGATAGTTTCCTTTTTTGTTATGGTGTATTATTATTCCTTTTATATCTTGCTGGTTTAAATTTGCTAATGTTTTCTTGAGGATTTTTACATTTATGTTCATGAAGCAGTTATTGGTCTGTAGGTTTCACATTTTGTGTTAACCTTGGTTTTGATATTAGGGCAATGCTTACCTCATATAATGAGTGAGGGAGTGTTCCCTCTTCTTTTCCGAAAGAAGTTATTTAGAATTGGAGTTTTTTCTTCATTAAATGTGTTGACAGAATTCACCACTGAAATTATTTAGGCTAGAGATTTACCTTTCAGAAGGTTTTTAAACTATTAATTCAATATCTTTACTAGTTATTAGACCATTCAGGTTATCTATTTCATGTTAGATGAACTGCGGTAATTTGTAGTTTTCAAAAGAACTGGTCCGTTTCATGGCCCTTCTTTGCTTCCCACTTTATGAACATACACTCTATGTATGTACATAGAGGGAGAAGAGGGAAAATGATAACTCAAGAGTATTTCAGGAATACAGTTGTTCCTTGGTGTCTATGGGGGACTTGTTCCAGGATCCCCGTGGATACTCAAATCCTTGGATGCTCAAGTCCCCCATATAAAATAATGTGGTTTTTACATACAGGCTACACACATCTTCTGACAGACTTTAAATCATCTCTAGATTACTTCTACTAATACAATGTCAATGTTATGTAACTAGCTGTTAGTTACTGTATTGGTTTGTTATTTGTATTGATGTTTATTGTTGTGTTGTTATTTTTATTTTCAGATATTTTCAATACATGTAGGTTGTATCTGCAGATATGGAGCCCACAAATATTTGACTGTACTTCAAATTCTTGTCTTCTTCACCAATCAACTGCTACTATGTCTTTGTTCCAGAGTCCTCAAATAGTTTCTCCCTGTCTCCAGGATTTATAGCTGCATTCAGTGGGAGAGATGACAGGAGTGTGCCTTCTCCATCTTACCTGGAATTGAAGCTAGGTTACCACTATGTCTAATTTTTAAACACAAAATTGGAATCATACTGTACATACTCCTTGTGCTTTTTTAAAAACCAGCAACATGTCACCAACTTTTTCCAAAGTTCGTTAAAAATCTTTCTAAAACATAATTTTTAATGATCGTATGTATTGCTACAATTCTATTGTTTCCAATTGTCTCCCCATTGTAAATGGTGCTGCCATAAACATTTTTTAACATAAATTTCTGTACAAATTTGATTATTTCCTTAGGATAATTTCATCAAAAAAATTTTGGTGCCTGGTCTCTGGGTCCAGCTGCTGGGAAGGAAGACACTCTGCAGTCTCAGCACCCACCAGCTCCTCCTCCTTCCTCCTCCCCTGAGGTGAATGTGCCCTCAGAAGTGCAAGCTGCCAATTAACTATGCTGCATTTTTTATGACATGAAAGTTTGGAAATGCTCGAGGCCAAAAAAAAAAAAATCAAGAAAAGAAAAAAGGCTATCATTTTTTGTCTCAGTGCAGACAAAGTGCGTTGTTGTAGAAGGCGGTGAAGAGACCTTGGTTGGAGATGTAGGTGCAGCCATAAGTGGTCCTTCAAGCATGTGGTGGCAATGTTTCCTGAAAAAGGTGTCTCTGTACTTTGCATGAGGCAAGCTTTAAAACCAAGGAATCCAGAAGAGTTGATGGTTTTGTGTGTGTGTGTGGGCACCAGAACTAACACCTCTGAAAAGTAAAATGATCTACATGAGCTCCAGAAATGCAACCAAAAAGAAACATCAAGGCATAAAACATGAACGACAAGTAAAGGGGCCAGAAGCCCTCCCTTGGGCCTGTCCCACTGGGAAGTCAGGTGGCCTTGGTTGTGGCCTCTGCAGGGTGCTCTGTGTAGATCGTCCTTCAGTGCCACAAACGGAAAGTGCCCGTGTTTACTGTCATCCTCTTGTTGTGTAAATAAGGCAAATACATTTCGGCCAGGGTCTTACTGATGGGGAGCTGTCCCATCACCTAAACTACACATTCTATAAATATGTGCAAACAGCCCTAAATAAATCCAAAGTCTAAAGTTTTATTGGTGTGAAATTAAATTCTTATTGGCCACGTGCCTGTTTTCATGAGCTGACTTATAAAGATTTTTGTTAAGCTCAGCATTTGTAATAATACAGTCCATAAAACAGTACAAGGCTGTGTGAAGAGAATTATTACATCTTTGTAACCTCAGCAGTTACTTCGTTTCTTTTGCTTAGAAAATTGGTCATAATGTGGTTGGAATTTTGGTCCAAATTCTTTATTCTTCCTTGAGCTAAACAGAATAACGGAATATAGTATGTCCTCATCACATATGACAGCACTAATATACTAACAACAGTAAGACTGAGTCTGGCAGTCTTTGAATTCTACCAAATATGTAACAGAAACCCTCAGTGACCCTGCGAAGCGTCCTGAAATCCAGGAGGCATTCTCTGCACCTACAGTGCCACTGGCTAGTGGGAGACTGTTGAGTGTGTCCTCAGGAGAACAAGCAAGATCCTGTAACAACTAATGATTAACGCAAATTAGGGCTCCATTGTCACCTGCTTTGTTAACAAAAATGATTAAATGGTCTGTTGACAATCTAGGACACCTGTGGTATCTTTACTTGCCTCTCCTTCAGAACTTTGCTGCTTCTGGAATAATAAAATATGGAAGAACAAAAAAACTGTAATGCTCTTTGACTTATTCTGTCCTATTTTCCTTCAAAAGGCTTTATCAATTCACACTGCCAAAAAGTGTACGGCAGTGCGCATTTCCCCACAACCCCAGCCTGGGGATCATCAGATATTAGAGGACTGCTCAGCCAACTTCCCAGGTCAAAACTATTAAGGTTACTTTTAAATTGCTGGTGACATTAAACAATGTTCAACCTTCTGGCCTCTGGCATTTCTCTGCCTTTTTAGTCCCTGCTCACCTTCCATGAGGTATCTTTTTATGTTTTTCTTACTGCAACTCTCTATGTCACGCAAGCTGCAATTCTTTAGTTTCATTTACCATTTAATAATTGTTAGCTGTGCTAATGTATGAAGGGGAATTTTTTGTCAAATATTTTATTTGACAGCTTCATTATGAACTTGGTTCTTAGAAAGACCTTTCCCATCCTAACAACAGATAAACTTTTAGCAATTTTTTTATGTTTCCTTCTTTTCTTAACTATTTAACTCTTGAGCCCGTCTGAGGTTTATTTTAGCAGATGGTGTGAAGAAGGGACTCTTTTCTCCAAATCAATCGTCCCAGCACCATCTCTGAATAACTGCATGCCCTTGCACTGACTGAAAGCTGGCCCCTCCTATGCTAAACGCACATGCACTCTTCCCTGTCTCAGACTTTTACTACATGTCAGCGTCCAAGTAGGAAGATGGACCATTAGAGATGAAGGCCTGAGGGCTGAGGGGCTCTGAGAACAGGCAGACAGCAGGCAAGGAGGACGTGAAGGGGACCAGACGCACAGGTGCAGGGGAAAGGCAGACAGCAGGCAAGGAGGACGTGAAGGGGGCCAGACGCACAGGTGCAGGGGAAAGGCAGACAGCAGGCAAGGAGGACATGAAGGGGGCCAGACGCACAGGTGCAGGGAAGAATGCGGCAGCTCAGGAGAGGGGCAGCCTGGGGACGGAAAGTGGAGGTGGGTGCAGCTGCATCAACAACTCCCAAATTCACACCCACCCTCCCTCAAAGCCTCCAACCCTGTACCCCAATAACTATCACCACAGGAACTCTTGCAGCCCGGTCTGCCCTGTTCTGGGCCTCCTTGGGCTGAGTAATGATGGTGGTGCTCCCTCAATCCCCCCAGGGAGAGTCTGAAGTCGGAGCTGCCTCAAGCCCTCACCTGCAAAGCTCCGTCTACCCCCTGCACTGCCTGCACAGGAGAAACCACCACATGGTCCTGTCTGAACTTGCCCCAGCATTCCTCCGAATGTCCTGCTCAGGGTGGCCCCTCCAGGCCAACGCCCACCAAGACCCCAGCCATGTCCCCCCTGCCCAATCAATAGCTGGTCCTGCACATCGGATGTGCATCCTGTGCTCAAGACCCACACAGATGTTCACCCTCCCCAAGGTCCTCCCTACCCTGGCCCCCAGCCCGTCCTGGTGGCCCACTCCCTGCGGATCAGGGCTGGGAGGCACCATCCTGCTCATGCCAAGCCCCCAACGGCACATCCTGCCTGCTGGCCCTGCTCTGCATCTCCACACCTGCGCCATGCCAAGCCCTGGCTCCTACATCTTGACAGTAAAGCCACAGTCAGTCCTGGAAGTCTGTGCACCTCCCACACAGAGGGGCCTCCCTTCACACAGGCTGTCCCAGGCCTCTGCATGCTGGGGCTGGACCACAGCCAGTCCCTGGCCTCCGGTCCCGGCCACACATACCCAGGGGCCTCCAAAACACAGCCCACCTCTTACTCCATCACTCACACACACCACTGGCACTCCCCTTGGTGTCCAGGATGTGGCACAAAGTCCTCAGACACACAGTACCCTACATCTGGCCTCTGCCTCCCTGATGCAACACAGTCTGGCCAATCCGGCCACTGGGCAGCCCCGGAACACAGCAACATGGTGAACACAGTGGCTACTCCTCTCCCCTCCCTCTGCCCCACGTCCCTCCTGTGTCCCTGTCACCCAACCCAGGGCACAGCCGGACACCGCAGCAGCCAGGCTTCCCCACATCAGTGCCCACACACCCTTGGCCTCACCACAGCCTCACTCCTCTTCTGTCCTCTTTTTGTCCCCGTAGCCAGGCACGAGCTGTCAACAGACACTTATTGAATGGGCACAGCTGTTCAGGGGCAAAGGTGAAAGCCCCTTCAGGGATTGGGAGTGGAGCCCGTTTCTCTAGTGTGTCACCTTATGGCTCCACAGACGTTATTAATAAGCCAAGTCACAGCATGGACATTGAGTCTATTTACATTTATCTTCTGACAACAAAATTTCAACAGGACTAAAAGCCAATGCCATCTGTTACCACGGGAAACCGTTTCCTGGAGAAGCAGCAGCCATATTTCACACTCCTTCACCCAGACCCCATCTTTCTGGGTCTCTACACTGAGACGCAGTTTCAGGTTGGGATGCTCTACTCCGATGTCCTGTGTTCCAGGATGCTGAGCCCAGGAGGAGAGCACCAGGCAGACAGCGTCCAGCCACACTCCTGTCACTTTCCCTCCAAGCAGACAGTGTTTGTGCAGGGCATATTCGCAAGCAACCAGAAAACAGTCCACTTCCACCCACATGTGAAACTCAGGGTGAACGACCCAGGCCAGGCCAGGCACATGCTGGCCCCACAGATGCCCAAGTGGCTTCACAGCATCACTGGGGCCAGTCTAAGGTAAGAAGACCCTGGCCAGGGACGAAGGCCCTACTGGCGTTAAAGAAACAGCCTTACCTGTTAGGCACAGGATTTTTACAGATTCCCAAGAACACAGTTCATGTAAATCACTCATGAAAATGTTACATGAACTTTGACTTAAATTTCTCATAAAGGCATTTTTTAAATCAGGTGAAAATTCAAGACACTGAGCCAATGTGCACACAAGAAATTAATTATACCTCACAATAGGGAAAACATCAAAATGAATCATGCATGACTCTTCAGATCCTGAGGTTGGCCCAGCCGAGCCTGTGCTCAGAAGCCCCCCAGCCCTGGCCCCCAGCTGCCCGCATGCCCCCCCTCACCAGCAGGCAGGTCCCCATCCACTCGGACACCAGCACATCCACCTTCTCGGGCAGTACCACGTCCTCCACCTTCTGTTGGAACACGGTGATGATGTCGGCAAAGCCATTCTGCAGGACCAGCTGCCCCGTGTGCTGTGCCATCTCACTGGCCTCCACCGCATACACCTGCAGCAGCAGAAGCACCGTCAGTGCACGCCCAGCCTCGGCCCGTCATCTACTCTCCTGAGTCACAACCAGCATACGAGAAATGGTCAATGACACAAGAGGGAAGCAGTATTCCAGACAGCAGAGAAAGTGAGGGCTGGGCCACACCTGCCCCTCCAGGGACACCCAGAAAGGAGCCGCCTCTAACCCTCCCGACTGCCCCCACCTCCTGCACAAGACACAGACGCAGGGCTGCAAGTGGGCGGAAGCCTCGCATGCCCGAGTCGGCTGCCACACGCACAGCAATCTTAATCCATGACCAGCACAGCAAGTTCTGAGCACCCAAGTGACAATGCTGGTCTGTGCCACATCTGAGGCCTGTGAGACAGTTTCAAACCCAGGGTCTCAGGGAAGGGTCTGGTGGGAAGTGCCCAAGTGCTGGGCCCTGGGTCCTGCAGAGCCTGGACTTGGGTGGACACTGTGCTGCGACCCCACCCACTGTGTAAGGAGTCTCCAAGGCTGCGGCTCGGCTCAGCTCAGCACAGCACAGATGGCCCAAGAGGAGTGGGGAGGGGGCCCAGCGTGTGCACCCCTCCCATCCCCGTGGGACCATCCATACCCAAGGCCCAGCACAGACATGTGGGTGCACCTGTTTGTCTACTCAACTGAAATAAATGTCTCACAGAACATACCCCGCCCTGTGCAATTCATGGGATATTTTCTATTCTGCTCTATTCCTGTCTGTGCTGTGACTCATTACGTGGGCGCCACAGCCTCTAGCATGCAGTCTCAACACACTGCTGTTTTACCGACCCTGAGCTGCACGTGCAAGGATGCTCACCAACACCACGGAGTCATCAGTGAGCCCTCAACAGCTCAGGGTCACGAGTTAGCACACTCAGAGGCCACCTCGGACATCACCAGCCTTGGCACAAACACCCGGGAAGCGTTCGAGACCCCACTCACCGCTTTAGGCCGCGCATAGTGTGCACAGAAGAGACTGATGATCCCAGTCCCACAGCCCACGTCCAGGATGACTTTATCCGTTAGGGATTCTTTATTCTGCAGGATGACACTGTGGTATTTAGTTGTTCGTGGCTGGTCTGCCAACATTTCCAAGTGGAGTTTCTGGAAGAAATGCACATTCAGAATCACTGCCTGTGACCTAGAGCCATGCCAAGTTCTGGACTGAGATGGAGGGTCAGAGCCACAGCTGATAACCCCTGACCCCGCCACCCCACATCTAAAAATATGAGCAAAACACAAGAGCAACAGTACTGGCTTCTGGAGTCCCTCAGCTCAGCACAGCACGGCCAGGCGAGCAGACAGGCAAGAGGGAGCACTGTGCACACAGGGGTGCAGTGTCGCCCGGACCACTGAGGCTGGAGGGACCACCGCATCCCAACGAGACTCCCCAGGGCCAGGTGTCCGACTACAGAAAACAGCAATACACCATGAGAGAGGGGCCAGCGTAGGTGGGCAGGGGGTCCCCCAAAGTCCTCTGCACACATGAGCTCACCCCTCCTGTTCTTGGGGAGTGCCCCGAGGGATAAGTGAGAGACCCAGCCTTGTCCTGAGGGAGGAAAATGCCTGAAACCCAAGGACACCTACATGAGAATCAGCCACCCTGAAAGGAGGCAGAGAAAGGCTTGCTCAGGGCAGCCAGCAAAGCCGCGGGCTGGAGGAGAGGCTGCACCCCTCCCACCAGCACTCTCGAGCTGCAGAAGGCCCAGCGTAGAAACAGCATCGCCAGAAAGAAGACAGGCAGCAGCCAGGAGCAGAGCGAGGACCGCGCCCAGACCACACCAGCAGACAGGAGCCTGCACGAGCCCCTCAGAGCCCACATTGGAGCCTCCCAAGACTGCGCAGAATAAAAAACAAAGGGACAGGTGGGAGGAGGTGGGAGGCACAGACAACAAAGCAAGGCCCAACTCTCCTGCCCGGAAGCAAAGGATGGGAAAGGCCTACAGTGCCAACACCAATGGAGACAGAGCTGGAGCAGCTACGTCAGCACCATAGAGAACACAGTTCAGAGCAAACCAGATTCCCATCGGTTCACATCAACACAGGAATCAATTCACCCAGAGGACATGATTATTCTAAATATTTCTGTGCCTAAAAACAGATCTTCAAAATACATAGAGCAAAATCAATACAGATGCAAGAAGAAACAGATAAATTCACAGTTATCACAGAGGTTTCAACAGTGTGCTCTCAGTAACCGACTGAAGACAGAAAAATTGGTAAGACTGTGGAAGGCCTGGACATCACTGTCAACCAAGTCAATCTCATTGGTATTTAGAGAACACTTCACCCAACCCCTTATAACAGTAATAATAAAAAATATCTAGGAACAAATTGAACAAGAAAAGTGTAAAACCATGTATGATAAAGAGATTATTATCCTTATCTTAAAATGCTAAAAGATATTAAACAAAGCTGAAGTAATGGGAGACTGAGAATCAATGTTATAAAGATGTCACTTCTCCCAAAATTAACATAAACATTCCATGTAGTACCTACTAAAGGAGGAAGCACAACAGAATAATAAAATTAGTTTCAAAACAGTAAGTGCCCAAGGCTAATGAGGAAAATGCTTTATAAAAAAAAAAGAACTGCTGGAGACCTAGCTCTTGCAGATCTACAAAGGTGCAATGATGAAAATGATGAAGCACTGGGAACTGCAGTAAACAGAGCAGTGAAACAGCAGCGATTTTGCAGCAGACCCCTGAAATCCAGAGCACGACAAATGCAGCATTTCACATCAATGGGAAGGGAACCGTCCAGTAACTGAGGCTGGGATCGCTGGATATTTGTGGCATAAATTAGGGCGGAATTTTACATTATTTTTTTACAACGAATAAGTTATAGATTGATTTGAAATCTCACAGTTTAAAATAGGATCAGAAGGCTAGGCGGGGTGCCTCACCCCTGTAATTCCAGCACTTTGGGAAGCTGAGGTGAGAGGGTCCCTTACACCAGGAGTTTGAGGCTACAGTGAACTATGATTGCACCACTGCACCCCAGCCAGTCATACGACAGAGTGTGACACCATTTCTAAAAAACATAAAAAGTAAAAATAACATAGAATCATAACAGTTCTGAAAAAAAAAAGTGTGGGTATTTATAATCTTATAGTGAGGAAGGTTTTTCACAAAGAAAACAAAAAGAAATCACAAATAAAAGAAAAACATAGGCCGGGCGTGGTGGCTCAAGCCTGTAATCCCAGCACTTTGGGAGGCCGAGACGGGCGGATCACGAGGTCAGGAGATCGAGACCATCCTGGGTAACACAGTGAAACCCCGTCTCTACTAAAAATACAAAAACTTAGCCGGGCGAGGTGGCAGGCGCCTGTAGTCCCAGCTACTTGGGAGGCTGAGGCAGGAGAATGGCGAGAACCCGGGAGGCGGAGCTTGCAGTGAGCTGAGATCCGGCCACTGCACTCCAGCCTGGGCGACAGAGCAAGACTCCGTCTCAAAAAAAAAAAAAAAAAAAAAAATATTAGGCTATACAAAGAAAAAAGTTCTATGTGGGAAAAAATTTCACACAGTCACAAAAATTCACAAATTCAGGCTAACACATGAATCAACAAAAATCAAAAGAAAGGGGCAAATAATATGAAAGTTTACAAAAAAAGAAAAATACAAAAGGCCAACAAACATATAAAAGATGATCAATCTTACTTAAAAAATGGAAATCAAAATTAAAAGACGCCATATTCAACCTTTAAGATCAAAGTCCTTTTTCACTTCGATTCGTGGTAGGGAAATGGGCTTTCACACACCGTCAGTGGATCCATGCCATGGTCTGAACTGTCCCCAAAAACCCATGTGCTAAAACTTAATCGCCAGTGTGATGGCACTAAGAGGCCACCTTTGGAGGTTACTATGAAAGGGTTTGTGGTGGAAAAGGCACTCCCAGCCCTCCCACCTTCACTGTGAGGACAGCCATGAGGCGCCATCTTGGACACCAATGCCAGTACCCCCCCAGCCTCCAGAACTGCGAGAAATGAAGCTTTGTTCTTCATAATTTACTCAGTCTAAGGTATTTTGTTACAGCAGCACAAACTTAAATTACACACTTAGTCGTGTGTAATTAGCAAATCTTTCTGGAGGGCGAATTGGCAACATCCACTTAAGGAAACCACATGTGTACACACACACACCACAAACACACCCCCCAGGAATTTACCCTATAGCAATTCTAAACAGCATTTAACAGGATTATATAGGACTCCATTACAGCATTATTTATCATGATAAAAAGCTGTTAAATAACCACTGTCCAAATAGCAACAGGATCCTTTTAGAGTAACACAATGCTCTGCAGCTGTTATAAAGAGTGACAGGTGCCAATATGAGAGATCTTCAAAATAATACAGCTACGTGAAAAGAGCAAGGTGAAGACCTGAGTGTTGGAACAACGCCTTTTCTATACATTAAAAACATAAAATAAATTAGGTGTCACTTGGACTTCATAAGCACAGAGGAATCTGGTGGGCAGTGGTTCTTTGAGCTGAGAGGCGGCAGAGCTGGGAGGCTGGCATTGGCTTTTCATTATGTATCTTTCCTTAATGGATAGAAATCACTAACCATGTACAGACATGAATAGTTTTTAACACTTCTAACTGTGAAATATGGCATGCCTACAAAAAAGTGCAATAAAAAGCAATAAAAAGTATCTGCACAGTTTATTAAGTATAGTTGTATAGCAAACACCTGTATATCCAAACAACTCTGTATCTATATCCAACCCCAGAACACTGCCAGCACGTCAGAACTTCTGACTCAGCCACGCTGGTCCCAGAGCCTCCCCCACCAGCACGTAACCTCCAACCAACTCTCAGGGGAGCCACTCCCGCCCTCAGTCTCACCACCCAGGCACACTCACAAACAGTACCTTCTGGCCAAGCACGATGGTTCATGCTTGTAATTCCAGCCCTTTGGGAGGCTGAGACAGGAGGATCACTTGAAGCCAGGAGTTTGAGACCAGTCTGGCCAACATAGTGAAACCCCCTCCATTAAAAATACAAAAATTAGCCAGGCATGGTGGCACGCACCTGTAGTCCCAGGTACACAGGAGGCTGTGGCAAGAGAATTGTTTGAACCCAGGAGGCAGAGGCTGCGGTGAACTGAGATCCCGCCACGGCACTCCAGCCTGGGTAACAGAGCAAAACTCTGTCTCAAAACAAACAAACAAAAAACCTTCTAATGTGGCCTCTTAACTTTATATAATTGAGTCAAACGTTACAGATTCTTTGCCCTATTCCTTCTTTCACCTAACATTATTTTTATAACATTCACCCTGCAAGTAACTGTTTTCATCTAGTTTTAAAATGTAACCAGAGATTGTTGCCTAGACCATCAGGTTATAGGCAATTTCTCTATGGTGGGGAAAAAAAATTCAGTAAGCTGTTTAGAAGTTGGGCTTTTATTACTTTTTAAGGGACAGAGTCTGGTTCAATCACCCAGGCTCGAGTGCAGTAGCGCAATCATAGCTCACTGCAGCCTTGAACTCCTGGCTTCAAGTGATGCTCTGACCTTAGTTTCCCAAAGTCCTGCGATTACAGGCATGAGCCACCACACCTGACCTAAGTATTATTCTTCACAGATTTATAGAATTATTTCTTTTTTTTTTTCTTTTTGAGACAGGCTCTCGCTCTGTAGCCCAGGCTGAAGTGCTATGGCACCATCATGGCTCACTGCAGCCTCAGCCTCCAAGGCTTGAGCTATCCTCCCACTTCAGCCTCTTGAGTAGCTGGGACTACAGGCATGCATCACCATGCCCAGCTAATTATATATATATAGTTTTTTGTAGAGACAAATTATATTTTTTATTTTTTCTCACTATGTCGTCAGGCTGGTCTTAAACACTTGGCCTCAAGCGATCCTCTTGCCTTGGCCTCCCAAAGCGTAGGGATTGCAGGTGTCAGCCACCACGCCCAGTCTAATTTCATTTTTAAAGTAAAATTTACTACTTTAAAAAAAAAATGCTGAGAGAACATGCACATAATCTCACTGCTCAAAATCGTATCTCTAAGCCAGGGGTCAGCAAACTAAGCCACGGGCCAAATCTAGCCCACCACCTGTTTTTGGATGGCCTGCAAACTAACAATGGTTTTTACACTTTTAAATCATTCAATCAAAAGAATAATTTGTGACACATGAAAACTGTATAGTATAAATTCAAATTTCAGGGTCCATAAATAAAGTTTTATTGGAACACAACCCTGTACACTTTGTGTGTCATCCACAGTGGCTTCCACACAACCATGTCAGAGCTGAGTAGCCGCAACAGAGACGCTCTGGCCTGCAAGACTATGGACCTGCTCTGAACGATGCAGTAGGAACTAAAGCTAGAGAGAACCCACCGCCTGGCCAGCTGAACAGGGAATTAAAAAAACGATACCAGAGTTCCGTAGCTGCCGAAGTACTCTTCATCCTGCCACGTGTCTTCAGGGTCGTACTCATCCATCTCCTTCCCCACATGGTTTGCCGGAATGTACCCACAGTAGCCCGCACGCTCGCCCCACCACCAATCAGCAGTGGTTTGTCTCAGGATAAGAATTTTTTCTCCTCTCAAAAAACTGAGCTGGAAAAAAAAAAGTTAAAATTCAATTCAATAAGAAAACCAGTCATTGGTATGTCAAGTGTGGCTCAGTAATAAATCCCACCGATGGTGACAAAATCACAGAGATTTCAAACAGGAGTCAGTGGGTAATGACAGCAACTAAGAACGTTTGCAAGTGACACCACAACTTAGCGATACCTCTGGAACATCTACCTGAAAGGAGGGCACAGCTTAACTGATATTTTTTTAAAAAAGGAGTAAACCTTTTCAAATGGCTTAGGAGAGAATTTCTCAACAGCCTCTTCCTTGTAACTCAACTATGCCAACTGACTTACTGGAGGCTTAGGCTAAGAAATTCCTGTCACAAAGTAAACGAAGCTACATCCAAGGAGATATAGCTTGATATATTTGGTAGCCTTACTTTTCATCAACTGGGTGGGTTCTAAATTCCAAGGAGAAACCAGAACAGGTGCTTCTGCCCCTGGCTGAGGGTCCCCACTCCACACCTGGTATTTTCACATGTGCTTGGGGCAGTACCGGTTAGGCTGTGAGCTTCACACCCAGGTCTTGTGTGGCCCTAAGCATCTGAATACTTCTTCATGTAACTTTGATATGACGTCTGCAAAATTTATCTCATTTTGCCACTGAACATGCTGAAAACCACAAAGCACTGGCCACCACGCATGGCTACCTGGGTCTCATCAGTGGCAGCATAGTCTGCGATGGCCACGAACTCCTCTGGCTGGACTCCCTCCTGCAGGAGACCGGCCTCACTGTACTCAGCAGGCTCTTCTTCCTGCTCAAAAACAAGGAAAGGGTGAAGAGAGGACGTGGGAGCTTTTTTTTTTTTTTGGCTATGTTATTAGGATGGTTTCAAATTTCAAATACAGATTCATGTGTCGAAGTATTTATTATACAAACCATTTGGATCATCTTTACTACTATAATCAAAGGCTGTCACCTTCACTCTAAATTTCTTTAAAAAAAAAAATGAGTAGGACCCTAAAAGAGAACATCAAAGCAAGAAGTCAGAAACAGGCACTGCCAGTGTCTATCTGGTGAGGAGCCCTTGTCCTTCACCGGCTATGCTTCCTGAACGTGATCATCAACCCCACGACGAGAAACCAGTGTGAGGACAGAGCCGGGGGCCCAGCGTCCCAGGCAGGCACAGCCAGGGGCCTGTGGAAAGAGCTGATGGCAGGGCACAAACTTCCATGAGGCAGCAGAGCCCAGCTTGGACCCACACGGTTCCTTGGAGCCTCCCCCAACCCCTCCTTTTTTTTTTTTTTTTTTTTGAGACTGAGTCTAGTTCTGTTGCCCAGGCTGGCATGATCTCAGCTCAGTGCAACCTCTACTGCCTCCCAGGTTCAGGCGATTCTGATGCCTCAGCCTCCCAAGTAGCTGGGACTACAGGTGTGCATCACTACACCCAGCTCATTTTTTGTATTTTTAGTAGAGATGGGGTTTTGCCATGTTGCTGAGGTTGGCCTCGAAATCCTGGGCTCAGACAATCCACCTGCCTCATTTTCCCAAAGTGCTAGGACTACAGGCATGAGTCACCATGCCTGGCCGTCCACTTTATACAAGAATAAGTTTGCCTGGAAGACACCACTGCAGAGGGCAGAACCTCAAATCACACACTCCAGTTCAATGAATCAACCCTGTCTCAACACAAACACTTTAAACACATTTTCCTAAACATAAAAGTAATTCGTGTTTACTTTAGAAAATGTGTGAAAACACCAAGTACACAGAAGAAAATTTCACTGTAATTTCACTCACTGATCACAGATAATAACAGACAGCACACTGGTATTTATACTTTCAGACTTTTAAAAAGTGGACATGTAACACAAGTACAAAGCGTTCACTGGGTTCACACAATAAGCCTGTGACCTATGGTTTTCACTCTATAAACTCTGAACATTTTTTGTATTAAATATACTTCTAACACTATTTAGTATCTGTCGAGTATTCCAGTCTATGAATTATCATGACTTACCTATCCAGTTTCCTAGTCTCGTACATTTGGACTTCTCAGTTTTTACTATTCTAAATTATGTTAAGATGAACTTCCTTCAACATAAATCATTCTGCGTGTACCTTAATCTTCTTAGGGTAAGTTTCTGAACATGAACTTGATGGACCGAGACTATGCGTACACCTCCCCAGTTCAAGCAATTCACGTGCCTCAGCCTCCCGAGAGGTGGGACTACAGGTGTGTGTCACTATGCCTGGCTAATTTTTGCATTTTTGGTAGAAATGGATGGGGTTTTGTAATGTTGGCCAGGCTGGTCTCGAACTCCTGACTTCAAGTGATCTGCCCACCTCAGCTTCCCAAAGTGCTGGCATTACAGGCGTGGGCCACCAAGCCTGAACTGCACTTTGCTTTTCTTACACAATACCTTCTGGAAAAACTCTCCAACTGTCAGAACCCTGATTGATTACTTTCAATGGCTATACGATATTCCATAGCAGGAACTTCGCTTGATTCTTCAGCCATCCCCCAGTGATAGACTTTGTCTTGGGATCCAGTTTTCTACCACCATAACTGATGCTGCAACAAAAGAAGTCTGTGCACAGATAAGCTTATCTGATGACATTTTATTTCTGCGGGATAGATTGCCAAGGTTGAAGAATACTTTTTTTTTTTTTTTTTAGATGAGGTCACCCTCTGTCACCCAGGCTAGAGTGCAGTGACACGATCCTGGCTCGTGGCAATGTCCATCTCCCAAGCTAAAGCAATCCTTCTACCTCAGCCTCTCAAGTAGCTGGGACTACTCTTCGTATAATGTAGATCCGATTTGACATCTCAAGAAATTTTTTTACAAACATATTGTTTTCCCAGTTATCTTGTTTAGGATCAGCAACTTCACGAGTCAGGTCAACAGAAATTTTCCAAACTGAAGCACAAAAAGAAAAACAAACAAACAAACAAACAAAAACCAAATAAGAATAGAGCATGAGACATGTCAAACAGCAGCAAAAATTCTAACTTATGTTTACATGGTGACCCCAAAAAAGAAGAGAGAGGATGAGGCAGAAAAAAAAATAAATGAAGAGATAATGGTGGAGATATTTCCAAAATTAACAAAAAAAAGATCATCAAGGCCAAAGTGGGTAGGTCACCTGAGGTCAGAAGTTTGAGACCAGCCTGGTGAACATGGTGCAACCCCGTCTCTACTAAAAATGCAAAAAATTAGCCAGGCGTGGTTACTCGTGTCTGTCATCCCAGCCACTTGGAAGGCTGAGGCAGGAGAATCGCTTGAACCCAGGAGGTGGAAGTTACAGTGAACTGAGATCACACCACTGCACTCCAGCCTGGGTGACAGAGCGAGACTTCGTGTCAAAACAAAACAAAACAAAACAAACAAACAAAAACTCATTAACTCACAGATTCAAGAAGCTCAACTAATCCTAAGTGGGAAAAACAAGAAGAAAACTGGTAAAAAACCCCAAAATGAGAAAAATCCTAAATGCAGCCAATGTGAAAAAGGAATACATTACATTTAGCGGAACAACAGTAAAATATTGCTGACTTCTCATCAGAAACAGAGGCCAGAAGACAGTAAAATGGCATCTTTAAAGTGTTAAATAAAAACTGCAAACCTAAAATCCCGAATCAAGCTATTCTTCAAAAATGTAGGCAAAACACATTTCATAGTTTGACACAGCAGACTCACACTAGTAAATATAAACATACAGCTGTCAGGTTGAAGGGAAATGATCCTACATGAAAACACAGAATGCAGGAAAAAAGGAAAGATCTCAAAAAAGGCAAATAATATGTGGGGAAACATAAAAGACTATTTAACTTTATTAAAAAAAGACTCAACAATGACAATTTATTGTGGGGTTTACAACATATGTAAAATTAAAATGATACATCAACAGTACAAAAATATGGGTGCTGGTAAATGAAACTAACTTATAAGATCTTTACCTTATGAAGCGGTTAAAAAAAAAAGACTGAAATTGAGAGGATGCATATTGCAATTTCTTTGGAAAACACTAAAATAATATGAAAAGATACAGCTAACAAGCTAGTAAAGGAGGTAATGTGGAATTATAGAAAATATTTATTAATCCACAAGAGGGCAGGAATGCAGACATGCACAAAAAAGAAATGTGACAAACATAAAACAAATAGCAAGATGTTACACTTAATCATATTAGTCATTACATTAAATGTTAATAGACTAAATACTCCAATTAAGAGGCAGAAATTGTGTTTAACAGAGCGACAAAAAAAAGACCTAAGAGCTAGACCCGACTAGCTCTTTACAAGAAAAATGCTTTAAACATAAGGACTGGAGGGAAAAAAAAAAAAATACACACACACACACACACTCTTTATTATTATAAAAATATTTTTATATTTATTATATAGAAAATAAAGTATATTATTATAGAAAATACTTTCTTTTCTATAATTTCCCTAAGAATGGGAATATTTCCCTATGCCAGGAGCATGACTCACAAGGCAGCAATGCCCTCTGCTTGCTCTCCACCCCATCACTGATCCACCCAGCCCAGGCAACCCTTACTAATCCCCTGGTGTGCGGCCTTCCACACCCCCACCATGCCCATGTCATACACAAACCCCTGTGTACACACATACATACACACACACACACACATGCACACACACACACACCCAGGCTCTTTCTTTGCTTGGCTTTTTTTTTTTTTTTTTTTGAGATGGAGTCTCGCTCTGTCACCCAGGCTGGAGTGCTATAATAATATAGCCGGTATAGCTATATTAACACTAAAAAAAGGTACATGCAAGAAAAGAAGTATTTATTAACAGGTAAAAAGACAGATATTTTATAAAAAATAAGGTCGATTAATCTGGAAAATAAAACCTATACTAAATATATACACCCAATAACAGGGACTCAAAATATACAAAGCAAAAAGTGATAGAACCAAAAGGAAAAATAGATATATCTACAATCATAGTGGAGAATTTTTAGTAACTGACAGAAAATGGCAAAAAAAAAAATCAGAAAAGACATAGAGTTTTGAACAATACTAATAACACATTTGATCTTAATGGCATGTATAGAATGCTATACTCAACAACTGCAGAATACATAGTCTTTGCAAGTACTCATGGAACATTCACCAAAATATTCCATATGATTAGAATATAAAGCAGGTATGAATAAATTTCAAAAGACTGAAATTATAGAGGATGTTATGTTCTCTAACCAAGCTAATTAAAGCAAAATTAAATAAGAAAAAGTAAAATTTCCAAAATGTTTAGAAACTGGTCAACATACTTTCAAATAGTCCAGAAAATTTCTAATTTCCACTGAATATATTAGAAAATATTTTGAATAATGAAAATGCAATGCATTTAAATATGTGACGTATAACTACAGCAGTGATTAGAGGAAAGTCATAGCTTTAAAGACTATTAAAGAAAGGTTTAAAATCGATTATCTAAGCTTCTCTCTCAGATGCTACAAAAATTAACCCAAATACAACAGAAGGAAATAAAGACAAAAGCAGAAATCAATGAAATAGAAAAACAGAGAAATCAACACAGATAAAATTGGTTCTTTATAAAAATAAAATTGATAAAACCCTAAAAAAAAGACTGATCAAGTGGGAAAAAAGGAGATAAAATACAAATTACCATTATCAGACATCTATTCTATAATGGAGGGTAGTATTAACAGGATGAACACAAGTATTACTGAAGTACCACCATGACCCTTAAGTAGTCAGCAAAATTAAAGTAACAAGATACCATTTTTTAACCCATGAGACTGACCAAAACTTAAAAGTCTGATGCTGTCAAGTGTTAGCAAGCACTATTGTGGGCTACTGACCTGTGAACTAGTAAAGTCATTGTGGGAAACAACTGATCATTACCCAGTAAAACTGAAACTTGCGATCCTTTGCACCCTGCAATGCCATTATTGGAGCACAGAGGCATGGAGAAGGATGGTCACTACAGCATTGTTTGAAATAGAAAAAACTAGAAACAACTTAAGTGTCCAACAAAAGGGGAATAAGTAAAATGGGGTATATGCCTACTGTATAGCAGTGAGACTGCAACAGGCCCATACACATAATTACAGCTAGGATACTTTATACTTTCAGAGAAGAAATACACTACAGGAGCACCCTACAGTGGCAGGATTGAACCAGCATTACACACATATCAACAAGGACAAATTCCCCAAAGGTAAAGTTAAATGAATAGGCAAGCTACAGGTGACACTGAGAGTATGACACCACTTATGGAAACTCTAAAAAGCACACACAAACAATATCGTATGTCATTCAAGGATATCTATATAAGCCACAGAGGTATAAAAAATGGTGCAGTGACACAAAACAGATTCAGGATTCACAGTAGTGTTTGCCTCTAGAAAGAGAAGAGGAAAAATAGGACTGAGATTGGGGAACAAACTTTATCTAGAGGGTTGCTTTTTCTTTTTTAAGATATGAAGTCTCACTTTATTGGCCAGGCTGGAATGCAGTGGCTATTCACAGACACAATCAGAATACACAACACCCTCAAACTCCTGGCCCCAAGTGATCCCCCCACTTCAGCCTCCTGAGTAGCTGAACTACAGACACATCCGACAGTATTTTTATTTTATAAATATATATATATAACCTAATGTACACTGTTTAATGCACTTGATGTTTACAATATCATTCTGGAAATGTCCTAATATTTGTTAAATTTATCAAAAGAAAAATAAGATGTCCACGGAATTAAAACATTTTATGAATAATTAAAGAAATCAATGAAAGATGCTGACTATAAATAAAATTCCTATATATAAAAACCCAAATGAAAACAGATCATTGGAATGAAAGAGAAAAAAAAGAAAATATTAAAATTGACATAACAGATACAGAAATGTTTAAAAATAGTATCTATTATTCAGTTGGTGAGTTTTACACAATCAACATTCCTTAAAATTTGAGGGGTTTTTTTACTGCTAACTTGAACAAAACTACATGAGTACCCTAGGCAGAAACAGTATGAATACATAAATCTTTTCTAATGTGCCCAACTTGCCTTCAATATATTGCTGGTATTATGCCTGAAATTGTATTGAACAGCTCAGAAAATACGCTTGCTTTGCCATTTCACATATCAAAAATGGAACCCTAAATGATGGTGATGTTTAGGGCCTAAGTATTTCCTTAGAAGTGTTATGGTGCCCAATGCAGGATGTCACCTTAGAGACACTGTGTTTCCTCTGCCTCACAATCTTCACATTTAAGCATTCTACTGCTGGTGGCCACCTTCCAAGGCACAAGTCAAGCTCCACCATATCTGTGAGCTGACACTTAGCTCTCTGTAATGTTCACATTCATTAAACACAGATTTTTAGGAACTGGAACCGAAATTACCTGCGATTCACTTCTGGGACAGTCACCTGATGTTGCCATAGTTCTCTTAGGCTCTGCCTCATAACTGCTGCTTTATTTCATTTTCTTCTCCATTTCTACTTTTAAAAAGAGAAGGAGACACAAAGTACTTGTTATATTGCTTAATAATTAAGTTCCCTTAACTTCTAAGGGGCATGATAAATGTCGTCTACCAAATAGAAGTAAAATGTGTATGTGTAAAGAATAGTATAGAAATGAAAATTTACAATTCTTTACAGAGACAAAAGCATTTAAAAATCATAAACTTCAAATAGTGTGTTTTCTTCACTAGTCTGAAAGGTGTTAATCTTATTCATTTGCTGAAGCCTGTTAGTTTCTGTTAGATCAGGTGTCGACTTAAGGCAATAAATCAGTATTCATTCATTTCTTAGAACTGTGATAGCTTTAATTCCAATTAAAAGTCCCTACCCGGGACTTTACAGTGTTTCCACTAACAGGAATCAAAGTCTGCATCTTCCAGTCTTTTCCTTCTTCTCAATTCTTATTTTTCCAGTGACAGTGTAATCCACACTCTGCTCTGGGATCAATGTGTTTTTTCAATTGCATAGCAATTCTTTGTTTAAAATGCATGCTTCACTTCTAAATCCAGACTTGAAGCTTATTTTTGTGATATTCGTAGTTACAAATGCTTACTGATGTACATAATTACATTTTCATTGGAAAACCTGGGTCCAAATTGGGAAGGGGTCGGAGAGGAGGCCGGGGTGCGTGCAGGATCCAGCTCTCCTAAGACGCCCTCGGAAGGAACAGGATCATGGAGGGTGGGAACAAGTGGCCAATGAAGGGGGGTGAGAAGGGGGCAGGAAGCGAGGGGGCCGCGCGTAGACGCAGGGGCACGAGAGGGTCAGGCTGGGCGAGCGTCGCGAGCTACGGGACAGGGGCCGTCAGGCAGGTGGGCGTGGTCGCGAAGGGCGTGGCAGAGATGGTGGGGTGGGCGTGGCCGCAGAGGGCGAGGCCATGGAAGGCGCTGGATGGTGGGAGTGGCCGGGAAGGGGCGCGGCGCTCAGGGAAGGCTGTGACGGGGACCCAGCGCCCGTTACGACGCCAGGGCAGGTGGCAGAGATCGCGAAGGCGCTCGGAGGCCCCAAAAGGGGGCGGAGGCCTCTGTCCGCCAGCGACGCACACGCAGTGCGAGGACGCCTCACCTGGCCTGTCCTTCCTTACGTGCAGTCCAGTCACCTGAGCGGCCCATCAGGACACCTACCTCAGCCGCGTTTCTCCGCTGAGTTCCGCGTCCACACCGCCAGCGCTGAGGGGCCGACGGTCTTTTCCAGGAGCCTGAGCCAACGCCCTCAACCCGCGCAAGCGCAGTGCACGCAGGCCGTCAGCCGAGAAGTCCCGCCCAGTGTCCGGCGCCCCGCGCAGGCGCAGTGCTCAGACGGCCCCCCTTCCAGGGGAGCCGAGCCACCGCCCTCGACTCGCGCAGGCGCGCCGCTCACAGACCGTCTGCAGCTTGGGCTGCGCAGCGCGCTTCACGTCTGAGCTTCCCGCGCTCTTGAGAGCTGAGGCCCAGCGCCCCCCTTGTGTGGAGCTTGTCCCCAACCGCCCCGCCCCGACGCGGGGGGCTCGGTGTGGGGTCTGACCCTCGGTGCAGGGCGCGGGGCGGGAGGCCGACCTGGGGCGGGGGGCGGGGTTGGGCCCCTCAGGGCCTGGGAAGCGACAACCCGTAGGAGCCACAAAATGGCTGGGGCTTGGGGGACCCCTACCTCCTCGTGTCTTCCGTGAAATAATTCAGTTAACTTTCCCATCCGCGCTGCTCAGTGCGCGCCCTCTGCTTTCTTCTGGACAAGTGGAAGCAGAATGGTGACGTTTCTGTTTTGGGGAGAGGAAGTTTGGGGTTAAGGAGAAATGGGTGGCACTAATGCCTGTAAAACAGAAATAAAATTCGAAGCCCCCCCCCACCCCGACCCGGCCCGGCAGGCTAGGCGGACTGGACTCCCTCCTTTACCAGGGAACCCCGAAGTTCAACCTGAGAGACTGTTCTGGCCTTGAGGGGAAGTAAGAGTTACACGTGCCTTGTTATGCTTCTCCGGCATTAACAAGGGAGACCTTAAGTCTGATTTAAAAAAAAAAAAATGTGGAAGGAAAATAAATCTTGGGGTCCCAAAATCATTAAGCTAAAGGGAAAAGTCAAGCTGGCAACTGCTTAGGGCAAACCTGCCTCCCATTCTGTTTAGTCATCTCTCAGCTCACTGAGGTAAATGCATATCTGATTACCACCTCTGGAGAGGCTAACCAGAAACTCAAGGGAATGCAACTGTTTGACCTGGAAGCTCCCTCTTGCCTTTGCTTCGAGTAGTCCCGCCATTCCGGACCAACCAATGTTCATCTTACATATATTAATTGATGTCTCATATCTCCCTAAAATGTGTAAAACCAAGCTGTGCTCTGACCACCTTGGGCCCATGTCATCAGGACCTCCGGAGGCCGTGTCATGGGCGTGCCTCCTTAAATTCAGCAAAATAAACTTCCTAAGTTGACTGAGATCTGACTCAGATATTTAAGGTTCACATTTTAGTAACCACAAAGCGATTCCTAGTAGAGGTGCCACTGACCTTTGACAAATCTCCTGTCAGTCCTTAGTACCAGCCTGAGCTATCTTTATGGCTCAAACCAACAGGATAATTTGCTGAGGCCTGGAAGAACCCCCTCCAGAGAATCCCTGATCCACCCAGATTTGGTCAAGATCTAGTTTATTTTGCTGTACAACTCCTTTTGTGTGTGTGGGGTGAGGGGACGGGGGTGGTTTACTCTCTTCCAACATAAGGAAGGCAAGTTTTTTCTTGCTTCAGTGACAGTGGAAGGCAGGTAACTCTTTTATGGAGTTTGAGCTCGCTTCCCACAGGAAAGATGAGGGGTTTTCTTCCCCTGCTCCTAGGATGGTAGAGAGCAATCTTCAGCCTGAGACCCATCCCTAGGTAAGTAACTGAATTGGGGTTTGTCTTGGCTAAGATTAACAACCAGCTGTTCTTAATTTCTCCTTACCATGAGTGTACTCAGTAATCTTATAAATTGTCCAATCCTTTGTTTCGCTTAACTGGTTTTTTTTTTTGTTGTTGTTTCCTTTTTTTGTTCTTTTGTCTTTTTCCCATTGAGTTTGACCAACTCTGTCTGACTTGATCAAATCCAAAGGGAAGTTTCAAATTATGAGAACCAAGGCCTCTGAACTGGGTAAGTTTCCCCCCCTCCCCACCACACACACACACACAAAAGGTGGTGTGGTGGGGGAAGAAAAATAGCCAGCAAACGGAAAAAAAAAAGATTTTTTATTTTGACTACTTAAGGGACTTTTTTAATATAACAAGGCCACATTTTTGCTAGCCAGACCAACCAAAAAGAGCAATGACTGTCATCCCATGCTGCAGTTCCTTACCTAAGGATTCTGCCTTCTTTTTTTCCACCACGACAGCCTGGGTTTGGTTCCTAAATCAAGCCCTTTCTGGTTTGATACTTGGTACTTCTGAAATAACAGCAATTTGTCCTAGATGAAATATGATAATGAGATTTATTTATTTATTTATACAGAGCCTTGCTCTGTGGCCCAGGCTGGAGTGCAGTGGCACAATCTCAGCTCACTGCAACCTCCACCTCCCAGGTTCAAGTGATTCCCATGCCTTAGCCTCCTGAGTAGCTGGGATTACAGGTATGCACCACCACGCCCAGCTCATTTTTGTATTTTTTTGGTAGAGATGGGGTTTGGTCACCATGTTGGCCAGGCTGGTCTCAAACTGGCCTCAAGTGATCCGCCTATCTCGGCTTCCCAAAGTGTTGGGATTACAGGTGTGAGCCACCATGCCCAGCCAGTAATGATGTAGCAGGACGAGCCGCAGACAAAACCTCTCAGACACCGAGTTGTAGAAGGAAGGGCTTTATTCAGCTGGGAGCATCGGCAATCTACTGCCTTAAAATCTGAGCTCCCCGAGTGCAAAGTTTCTGTCCCTTTTAAGGGCTCACAACACTAAAGATTTCACATGAAAGGGCCGTAATTGATTTGAGCAAGCAGGGGGTACGTGACAGGGGCTGCATGCACCTGTGGTCAGAGTGAAACAGAACAGGGCAGGGAGTTTCACAGTGTTCTATACAATGTCAGGAACATCGGTTTCTAAGTCATGAGTTGATTTTTAACTACTGGATTTAGGCCAGGCAGACCCAGGCCTGCTTCCAGGCCTGGCACCGGGCTGCCTGTCTTTGGTTTTACTTCCTTGTTTTTTTCTTAAAACAGGTACTGAGTATAAAACAATATAAAACAATATGAGAGGGTCTCTCTCCTCAAAGAGTTTTAAAAAGTTTTTTTTTTAAGGAGCTCAATGGTTAAAAGTCAGCTTAATTAGAAGCTAACATCCAACATGTGTGTGTATGTGTGCCTGTGTGTGTGTTTGTATTTAAAAGGCCTTCAGGTTTTGGTTTTTGTGTTTTTGTTTTTCTCTTCTAGGACCTTGTCTTTTTGAGCAAAAGTTTTTTTTCTTAGTTGACTGGCTTCTGTTTTCTTCATTTACTTCTGCCGTCTCTTCTTTCTCTTGCACCCTCTGCTTCATGAGGAACCTAATATAGTTTATAATACCCAGGGTTCCTTACAGAAAATGGAGAAGGTACCAGATTCCCCTTGGAGGAGAAACCTGTTTCCTTATGGAACCGCAAGAGCGTAAACAGACAAGTTCATCTCAGCTCTTAAACTGCTTGCTTTTGTATGGTGTTACCTAATTTTTTAACTAAAATAGTTACTGCAACAGAGGCTACTCTTGAATTCTTAAGGAATAGTGTAGTTTAGATGCATAGAAATGTCTTTGTTAAAAAAAAATTTTAAGTGCAGTGCAAAAGCACGACCTGGTCTAACCTCACAATAATTTTCGCTTTTTGGAGACCCAGGATTCTGTGTAGGGTCTGCCCAGAGCTCAGAGATCCAGTTAAAATATAGGTAGTCTCTATCTAAATAAAATTGGTCTCCTTATACAATCTTGTGATAGATTTTCATAATTTTATGTTTCATTTGGCATCCATCTTTAATCTGTCTTTAGCACCACCAGACTTTTTCTCTGTGTACCTTGAAATGTAAATTTTGCTATCTAATTTTTCGTCTAAGAGTTTCCTTCAATATGCGGATTTAGGGCTATTTAGCTGACAACTTCCGGGGCAGTGACACAGGTTATCGAGAGTTTGCAAGTCTAAGATAGAAAAAAAAAAAAAAAGGAGGTCTTAGGAATGTATAAGATGTGCTTCTATCGGTATACCTAATACCTCTATGTAATTTATGTGTTGTGTACCCATGTTTCTCTATTAAAAAATATAAAAGAGCTCTAATTAATTGGCTTGAAAAATAAAAGTGCTCAAATAAAATACTTTATTAGAAAAAGGGGAAGACTAGTCAAATGTTAAGTTTACTTAAAGTCTTTAATAAATAAGTTAACTTTAAAATTAGTGGCAAAGTAATATTAGAAATGTCTTAAGAATTGCCAGCATACATTTTTGTTTGTATTTATTTATCAAGCAATTTCCTACTTATCCCTGCCAATTACTATAAGGTGTCAACATTTGGCATAGGGGTTACAAAAGGAAGAACATAAATGGCCTGATGGAGCTGAAAAACACAGCATGAGAACTTCATGAAGCATACACAAATATCAATAGCCAAATCAATCAGGTAAAAGAAAGGATATCAGAGACTGAAGATCAGCTTAATGAAATAAAGTGTGAAGACAAGATTAGAGAAAAAAAGAATGAAAAGAAATGAACCATTCTCAAAACAAGCTATTAATGCGGCCAACAAACATAAAAAAAGCTCTTCATCACTGGTCATTAGAGAAATGCAAATCAAAACCACAATGAGATACCATCTCACACCAGTTAGAATGGTAATCATTAGAAAGTCAGGAAACACGGTGGCTCAAGCCTGTAATCCCAGCACTTTGGGAGGCCGAGACCATCCTGGCTAACACGGTGAAACCCCGTCTCTACTAAAAAGTACAAAAAAACTAGCCAGGCGAGGTGGCGGGCGCCTGTAGTCCCAGCTACTCGGGAGGCTGAGGCAGGAGAATGGCGTGACCCCAGGAGGCAGAGCTTGCAGTGAGCTGAGATCTGGCCACTGTACTCCAGCCTGGGCAACAGAGCAAGACTCCGTCTCAAAAAAAAAAAAAAAAAAAAGTCAGGAAACAACAGATGCTGGAGAGGATGTGGAGAAATAGGAACTCTTACGCTGTTAGTGGGAGTGTAAATTAGTTCAACCATTGTGGAAGACAGTGTAACGGTTCCTCAAGGATCTAGAACCAGAAATACCATTTGACCCAGCAATCCCATTACTGGGTATATACCCAAAGGATTATAAATAATTCTACTATAAAGACACATGCACACATATGTTTATTGCAGCACTGTTTACAATAGCAAATACTTGGAACCAACCCAAATGCGCGTCAGTGATGGACTGGATAAAGAAAATGTGGCATATATACACCATAGAATACTATGCAGCCATAAAAAGGATGAGTTCATGTCCTTTGCGGGGACATGGATGAAGCTGGAAACCAACATGCTCAGCAACTAACACAGGAACAGAAAACCAAACCCTGCATGTTCTCACTCATAACTGGGAGTTGAACAGTGAGAACATGTGGACACAGGGAGGGGAATATCACACACCAGGACTTGTCAGGGGGTGGGGGGTTAGGGGAGGGATAGCACTAGGAGAAATGCCTAATGTAGATGGTGGGTTAATGGGTGCAGCAAACCACCATGGCAAGTGTATATGTAATAAACCTGTACATTCTGCACATGTATCCCAGAACTTAAAGTATAATGATAAAAAAAGAAAAATCTGCTGATGTATAATTCTAAGCCTAAGAAAAAATATCCATTACAAAGGAAGTCAAAATAAATTCATTTTCAGATAAACGGAATTTGACTGAAGGAAACATGCACTAAGATGCTAAAAGAAGAACTTCAGGCTAAAATAAGATAATCTCATAACTGCAGGAAGGACAGAAGAGTACTAGAAAGTGTAAATAAATGGATAAATATATTTTTTAAATTTGTCCTTAAATCAACAATTATTATGACTTGTGAGGTTTATCATGTGTAGAGGTGGAATATATGCCAACAGCCGCACACAGAGCAAGGGGGATAAATAAACTATCGTAATGTGCTGGATCTTTGTTAGGACAAAGCAAAAGTATTCTAATAACTTCAGGCAGGTCAAGAGTGCATATTGAGCTCTCAAAAACTACAATGATGTATGACAAAAAGCAAAATAGAAGATAAAAGAAAATAATAAATTTAAAAAATGGAAAAGAAAACATTAAGAGAGTACTACAGAAATAAAAGACAAGACAAATGATAAATAAACAGCAATGCAGCAAACCACCATGGCACATATGTACCTGTGTAACAGACCTTCACGTTCTACACATGTATCCCAGAACTTAAAGTATAATTAAAAAAAATAAAAATAAACAGCAAGATGGCAGACTTAAACCCAACTATATTTCTAACAACATTAAATGTAAAGATAGAAAACATGCCAATTTTTTTTTTTTTTTGAGACAGAGTCTAGCCCTGTTGCTCAGGCTAAAGTACAGTGGCACAATCTCAGCTCACTGCAACCTCTGCTTCCTGGGTTCAAACGATTCTCATGCCTCAGCTTCCCGAGTAGCTGGAATTAAAGGCGTGCAGCACCCTTCCCAGCTAATTTTTTTTTTTCTGTATGTTTAGTAGAGATTAGGTTTCACTATGTTGGTCTGCCTGATCTTCAACTCCTGACCTCAAGTGATTCACCCACCTCAGCCTCCCAAAGTGCTGGGATTACAGGTGTGAGCCACCATGCCCGGCCAATGCCAATATTCTTAAGTATCTCTTTTAGAGATTTGACTAAATGATAGTTATAAGAAACATACTTTACCTATAAAGAAACATTTAGTTGAAAGTAAAAGAATGGGGGAGGCAATACCACACCAACACAAACCATACTGATATTGTAAAAAGCAGACTTTACCAACGGTATTACCAAAAATAAAAGAATTATTTCATAATGATAAACTGTCAATTCAGTAGAAAGAAATAGCAGCCCCAAATTTGTGTGTCTATAACATAGCTTCAAAATATAAAATCCAGAAATTCAAAAATTAATATAACTCAAAGGAGAAATAGAACCATCCATAATTGTAGTTGGGGGATTTAACACACCTATCACATAACTCAGAACAAGAAGGCAGACAGCAGAGATTCAAACAGCTCATTTAAACAACATGACACACGTCATGTTGGCTTACATCATGAGACTTACGTATGTACACAAATATATAAAATCAGTATATCCACTTCATCCACCCCTAGCAGAGTGCATGTTATTTTCAGGTACACGTGGAACATGTGTGGCTATTCTGGGGACATTCCCCATGGCAAGGACTGAGGGCTGCCTGTAGGAACTCACTGAGACTGTCAGCCAACAGCCAGCAAGAACTAAGGACCTCAGTCCTACAACCTCAAAAAACAATTCTTCCAACAACCAGGTGTAGCTGCTGGTTTTCTATCTGATGATAGCTGGTTTTCATACAATAGTCTGCTCAGGCTGCCTTAACAAAATGCCACAGACTAGGAGGCTTAAACAACAGAAATTTATTTTCTCACAGTTCTGGAGGCTGGAAGTGCATGATCAAGGTGCCAGCAAATTAGATTTCTGGTGAGGGCTCTCTTTCTGGCTCGTAGACAGCCACCTTCTTGCTGTGTCCTCAAATGGCCTTTCCACTGTGTGCATGCAATGAGAGCACTCCAGTATCTGTTCCTCTTCTTATAAGGGCACCAGATTAGGTGCTGTCAGATTAGCGACCTGCCCTGGATGCTGATCCTCCACATTGACTTCTGATTAACCCCAGTTCCTGAAATGCCTGTAAGATTTGTATTTTAACTACTGATCCTTGTGTAAAAGCATGCACTTACTGCCCTTAGGGCAAAACAACCTTGACATTATCTTACTTACCATACAGTTATCCTACACATCGCCTCTGAAGCCTGCATACTCTTCCCCTATGGTCTATAAGCCCTGGGTCTGGGAGGGTAACAGTGAGGAGATCCACCCGCTTCCCTCACTGCTGCCTAAGACACAGACATAGCTTCTGTTCATAAGTCCCTGTTAAATGTTCCTAAGAAACTGGATTTGTCAGCCTCTTTCTTCAGCCTCTCAGCCTCCTCGGTCTTTGGGGGTAGGTTTGCATAGACCTGCTCACCTTGGAATACCTTGCTAAGGGCTCTATCTTCCAATACAGTCACATTGGGGATTGGGGTCAACATATGAATTTGGAGGTAGGGGACATAATTCAGTCCCTGATATGGTTTGGCTGTGTCTCCACCCAAATCTCATCTTGAATTTTATTTCCCATAATCCACATGTGTGGTGGGAGGGACCCTGTGGGAGGTCACTGAATCATGGGGGTGGCTACCCCCGTGCTGTTCTCATAATAGTGAGTCAGTTCTCATGAGATCTGATGGTTTTTATAAGGGGCTTTTCCTCCTTTGCTCAGCACTTCTCCTTCCTGCTACCCTGTAAAGAAGGTGCCTTTCTTCCCCTTCATCTTTCGCCATTATTGTAAATTTCCTGAGGTCTCCAAAGCCATGAGGAACTGTGAGTCAATTCTTTTCTTTATAAATTACCCAGCCTCAGGTGTTTCTTTATAGCAGCATGAGAATGGACTAATATGTAAATAATGTGTGGCTAGAGAGTAAGCTGTGGTGCTTTTTTTTGTTTTTTTCCCAATGGCTGTACATTCTTTGACATCTTCCCACTGAGAAACAGCATCCACCTTCGTTCCCCTTGGTCTTGGGCTTGTAATGTCTGCTGTAGTCACTAGGTTGCGAGGCCTGCAGTGGCTCCCAAGGCAGCTCAGGAAAGGCCATGCAGCTCTCTCAGTCCTCTAGGAATGCAGGCTCTTGGGACACTCCTCAGAATCCAGCCTCTCAGAGACACCATGCACAGTGCTGCAGATGTCAGTCCCAGCTGAGCCCAGCCTTCATGTTCTCTCCTACCTGGTGCTACGTGACCTCGGGATGGTTCTACCCCAGCCGCAGAGCCACAGCTGTTCTGTCTCCCCAGCTGAGGTCCTAGACACGGAGCCACACCAGCACCCTGTGCCAATCAATCATGCTGTAGGAGAAAAATAAAACAGCTGATGCTTTTACACTATTAGATAGTGGTTGCTTATGCCGCAATAGTAACTGGAACAGAATCGGGTACTTTGAAGTGGGATGCTACCATGACAAAAGCCAAAAAACATGGGGGGTTGGCTGTGGGACTCAGCCCCAGAGAAGAGGTTGGCAGGCATGAGAAGGCAGCTGGCAAGGGACTGAGGAAAAGCAAGTGAAGGAAAGAAGGCTCTTGTCATTGAATGACTGGCTTCTTTCACCTGCACATCATGAGGAATGATTAGGGAGAGAGGCACTGTAGGGAAAGAGGCATTGGAGAAGGAACGATGGGGTTTTCAAACAGAACTTATAAAAACATGAAGGAGCCAGGATTTGCTGGGCTCAACAATGAAACTATTTTTCATCCACAGTTTCTCCCAGCAGAAGATTCTCAAAGAATGAAAGGGCTCAGAGCAAAGTTGGGACCCGCAGCCCTGTAGGGAATATGTGGGTTCAGAGCAGACACGAAGTTAAGGGTTGAATTATAAAACCCTCTGTTAAGATGCAGAAAGAGTTCAATTGGTGTCTTGCCAGCCTTTTCAGATGCAAAGGACCTCCCAGGGACCGTATGCATGTGCCTCCCAGGTCCCTATTAAGGAGACCTTCTGGGAATCTTAAGAGCATTGTTCCACAACAGCCACACACGGACCCCCAATAGTAAAGAGACTATTTAAAAGAGATCTGGGGTGCAGGTTTTGTCTAATGGAGTGAACTTCAATAAAATTCATAGAAAACCCACAAAGTTATTAAGGGAAGTGTACTAGAAAAAATAAGAGCAGCCTGCGTTTGTGGTTGAGCAGTCTTAGCCTGTAGAAATTCAGGGGCCCACTGGCCTCCTTTCATTTTGTGCTATCTGGTTCTTTTAATCCAAGCTGGCTTTTATTTTCTTCTCAGGTGCCTAGAGAATCAGTCCCTGGAGCAACACTGGGCCCTAATCGCAGACCTGTTGACCTGGGTCAGGTTGGATTTCAGAATCTCTGCAGACTGCCTGCTTTTTGCCTCAGTTTCGCCCTTCTGAGTGGCAGGGGCCAAGGTATCTGTCTTATCTCCATCCCCATTAGACATAGGGTGAAGAGGTGGGGTCAGGTGCTTGGCTCTTGAGGTCACAAGTCTGTGGATTGAGAAGGAAACACATTGAAGAGGTTGTGTCTGAGGAGCCGTGCCCATAGAGCCTCACCCCGCATGGACTTGGTTAGGTGGTGAGACTTGGAGTTCTGGCTGCCATAATGGCATGAGGCCATGGGTGTCTGGGTGAGTCTATTTTGAATGTGTGGGGGGTGCAGCCAGAGGGCAGAATGTATTTTCCAAAGTTAGCCATAGCGATTTCAGCAATCCTTCCCACATGCTCTGCTCTTGCCATTTCTCCATCAAGAAGTGGAGTCTGGCTGGGCATGGTGGCTCATGCCTGTAATCCCAACATTTTGGAAGACTAAGACAAGTGGATCACTTGAGGCCAGGAGTTTGAGCAGCCTGGTCAACATGGTGAAACCCCATCTCTACTAAAATTACAAAAATTAGCCAGGTGTGGTGGTGCATGCCTGTAATCCCAGCTACTCAGGAGCTGAGGTACAAGAATCACTTGAACCCTAGAGAAGGAGGCTGGAGTGAGCTGAGATTGCACCACTGCACTCCAGTCTGGGCAATAGAGCGAGACTCTGTTTCAAAAACAAAAACAAAAAAAAGCAGAGTAAAAGCACCTCCTTGATTCAGAGCAGGGTGTTTCCTCCTGCTCCGATACACGACAGCAGCATTTCATGTGGTTGGGACTTGGACTGTGGAGGCAGGCCCAGGTTCAAATCCTGGCTTTGACACTGAATGATGCAACCTGGGTGAACTAGTTCTCTGAGCCTCAGTTTCCCCCATGATGATGAAGAAACACATGTTTCCTATGCAGGCTGAGGCTCTGAAGCCTGCTAAGCTCCTTTCCCCACTAAGGGGAGGTCCTCATTTATGCCATTGCCCAGGTTTCCTTTACATGTGACTTGTCACATGGTGCTCTGGAGCCCTGTCCTTGGAGACTCACACCCCTGTGACCAGGATGGGGCCAGGGCTGTGCTTAATCAGGTGACTGTCCAAGGAGCCCCCTTCCACCTCCAGAGTTCAGAACTCAGTGTCTTACCTTCCTCCCAGGAACCAGAGCACACTGAACACCCAGGACCTGGCAGGGCACCTGAAGGCCAACATGTTGGGGGGCATTGGAGCACACGAGTCCCACTCCAGGGGCAGGAGTAGTTGTCACTTGAGTTGCAACATCTGTCCCTAAGAGAGTCCCTGTGAGGCCTGGCTCCTTGGTGTGCTGAGCAACTGACCTGATCCCACACTCTTCTACCCAAAGAGGCCTTTGGAGCCTTCCTACGGCCAAGGGACCTGGCCAGCTGCACAGGCTGAAGACAGAACGAGCTCAGCCAGGGCTCCGTGAACAGGTGTCCTTCTGTGGTCATCATCACGGCAGCAGCAAGGTCAGGGTGGGGTGTCAGCATGGGGTGTGCACTCTCTCATCCCGGGCATCTGAGTTTTTTGTTTTAAAAGTTGTGATCACCAAGACACTGTCCTTGTCTACCTCTGCGTCTCATGGTCCCAGCTGTGGGGGGACGCACAGCCAAGTGGGCCTCACCTGGGGAAGGGAGGTGCACCCATGTGACTCAGGCAAACACGACCCCTGGGCCTCGTTCCAGGGAACCCCAAAGGCAGAGTTCAGAAGATTGCAATTAATTTTATAAATTAATACACAATAACAGATCATTAATTTTAAATGTTGAACTTAAGGTTAATACATATGTTACAGGAATTACATCAGGAATTGATTTTATTATGGAGTCTGAATAAGTTTTAATTCCAAAAACAGTGTATTCCTCCTGTGATTTAAGTTTTATTTACGTTAGCACTCAATAGAACTACTAGTTGCTAAATACACCTGTGGATGTATTCCAGTTACCCTAAAAATTGAAATATAGTGCCAGGTTATTCACAGTGTTTTCAACTTAAAGTTTGTTTTTCAAAAAAAAAAGAGGTTATTGTTCTGCAGTAGCAAAACTGCTAGGAATTGAGCTTCTAGATTTTTTAAAATTTTATTTATTTATATATATATTTTTTTAGATGGAGTTTCATTCTTGTTGCCCAGGCTGGAGTGCAATGGTGCAGTCTCAGCTCACTGCAACCTCTGCCTCCTGAGTTCAGGCAATTCTCCTGCCTCAGCCTCCCTGGCAGCTGGGATTACAGGAGCCTGGCTAATTTTTTTGTATTTTTAGTAGAGACGGGGTTTTACCATGTTGGCCAGGCTGGTCCTGAACTCCTGACCTCAGGTGATCTGCCCACCTTGGCCTCCCAAAATGCTGGGATTACAGGCGTGAATCACTGTGCCCAACCGAGCTTCCAGATTTCAGGTTCTCAGCTTTCCTCTTCTCTTGTTTGGTACATTCTTTATTTAAATCGCTAAAATAAAATAACTCGTTTCCACCTCCTGGGTCGTTGCCGTGGAGGTGGTTCAATTCCACAAAGGCATTTTTACAGTCAAGGCGTATGCATCCTCACTTGTTAAACAGAGTTTGTTTGTTTGTTTGTTGAGACAGAGTTCTCTCTCTGTGGCCCAGGCTGGAGTGCAGTGGCAGGATCTCTGCTCACTGCAACCTCCGTCTCCCGAGTTCAAGGGATCCTCCTGCCTCAGCCTCCCAAGTAGCTGGGACTACAAGCATGTGCCACCACGCCCGGCTAATTTTTGTATTTTTAGTAGAGACAGGGTTTCACCATGTTGCCCAGGCTGTCTCAAACTCCTGACCTCAAATGATCCGCCCGCCTCAGCCTTCCAAAGTGCTGGGATTACAGACGTGAGTTAAGTAGTTCGAACAATCAATTGATTAGGCTTTTGTGGCTGCTCACTTGTGCATGTGGCCAAGTACTGTGCTGTCCTGGCCCACAGCGTCCTACAGGAAGGGATGGGCCGTAAGACGTGGGATCTTCTGAAGTCGTCAAATGAAAAACACTCCTGTTGAGTGAGAAAACAAATAGGCTAATCTTGTGATTTTTTAAAAATTTAAACTGACATGATTTTATTGCAAATTTCCAAGAATCCTTAAAAGTTATAAAAAGTATAACCAAATAAATATCTGTGGCAGAGTTCTACAAAAGACAAAACTCAGTTTTCCTTTTGAGATCTTGCCCCAGCATCAGTTCAAACACTTCCTCTCATATTTCACCAGGACTCAATTCCTGAGCAAGAAACAGCAAGAAACAGCAAGTGCCATGAAAAGCGGCTTTGTGTGGGGTGGGCTCTTCACACTGCAATCTCCAGTTCCTTCTCAAAGCTTCGAAAAAACGTTGAAAAATGAAAACAAAAGCCCTGCTGTGTTGAGCTGGGCTCTGGCGTTGCCATGGACCCAGGGCAAACAGCGATGCTCCTGCTCTGCCCCCAGCTCAGCTCACACTGGGCCTGCACTTCTGGAAGGGAGCACGGACTTCGGAATGACTGGTTAGAACCCAAATGAATTCATGGAATGTGACATGGTTCAAAAATAATAAAACGTGATACCCATGAAATGCTGATATTCTGTCTCAATTTGCCAGATTGGGGCCTCCTGGATTCAGAGTATTCTAAAGTAGCCGGCAGGTTCACTCTGCCCTTTTAGACCTAATGTATCTGGCTTAGAAAGCAGTCTCTGTCCCTCTGCTATTTGCTGTTCTTTGCTTTGCCTGGTCTGACTCCCGCCCCAGGAGTTCTCCTGACAGCTCCAGGTTCTGCAGACAAGAGCAGTAACTTTTATAATAATCATAATGACTCCCAAGTGAGTGCATTGGGCTCTTCACATGTGTCTCTGTGCACATGCATGTGCATGTCATTTCTGGGCACTTCACGTGTGTCTGTATGTGTGCACGTGTATGTGCATGTCAATCTCCTTTACTCCTCCGACAGCCCTCTCAGGGGTGCAGCTTTTTCCCTCTTTTACTCAGGCTGAGAAAGGTTGTCGTTTGACAAGGTATGTTCAGAGGTCGGATCTGAACCCAGCTCCAAGGCTCCAGCACCCAAGCCCTGACCCCACGGCTGCCTGCTGGCTGGGAGTGGCATTCTTTAGAACAGGAAAGGCAGTGAGTTCTCATTGCATCAATACTTGCATTTGCTACAACAGAAGCTTTTTGTCTCTTCTTCACATTCCTTCAGAACACAAGCCTCCTTTTCTGCCTGTGGCCATCAGTCACTGGAATCAGCCTCGTGAGTGGCTTGGTGGCGGATGGCACCGTCCTTTGTGGGAGAAAACAATGTTGCTGCCCAGGCCTTTCTGGAATGACCTCTTCCCACCCCCTGACCAGCCCCAGCAAGGCCCGGGGCTGGCTGCCTAGTTGATTGGAGCCAAGAGTTTGCTGAATGGATGAAGGGAGAAGGGACATCCAAGCGACTGAAGAAGATCTTAACAGAAGATTTATACATTCAAATAGAGGTCCCTGTTGACCCACAAGCTCCTTCATGCTCTGTCCTGGGCAGGCAGCACTGTTGCTTGGGAAGGAGAGCCCCTTCCTGTCATGGCAGGTCGTCATCTGGGAACCTGGAGCCACATCAACCCATTTCCCTCCATCTGCAGACTAGACAGAGGGTGAACCACATGGGTGCCTTTGGCATTCAAGGTGTAGTAGACTAGACACCATGGGCCTTGAGCCTCCATCACCCCCTCCACCCCCTCCCAATTATCTCCAAAGTTTCACAGGCTGCAATGCCAGGCAGCTCTCCACAATGCCATGACCACTAGTCAAGTGATGGCTCTTGGCCACAGAGTCATGGCAGCGTTGCTCACAATGGCACCTTTCTTCCCAAGCCAAAGAGTGCATGTTCTCACTCTCCGGGGAAACACCGTGGTGATTGCTCTCCAGCAACCAGCTGCCTCTTGGCACCCTTGTTGTCTCCTTAAGCTTTTTTATTATTGGGAGGAACAGGTGGTACATATTTTTTTGCAGGTGGACTAGTGACATTTGTGATATCTTATTATAATACTTTGGGGATTTTTTGTCTTCAGAAAGTACTCATTTTTTGTTTCCAGTTCAACATATAAGGAGCTAAGAAATCTTTGCTCCATTCTAACAGCAAGTAAAAAGCTGAACAAACTGAAAAATTAATCCAGTAGAGAAGTTAGATCCAGTAGAGAAGTGAGGTTACAGGACAAACTATTGTTCCCAACATTGGAGAGACAGACAAGTGGGTAGAGAGAATCACAACTTATCTCCAGCAGAAACCTCCAGTGCCAGGGTAGGAAAACCTGAAAAATTGCTGGAGGCTTAGTGCTGCAAGTCTGAGGGACAAAAACTCCAAGAGGACCCCCGTCCTGAGGGCCCCTACACTTTTGTGAATTTTACCTCCAGGAGCTTGACCAGGTCCTCACAGTGATTATTGGAGAAAAATTCCCTTGTGCTTCGGCAGGGGGAAGAAAAAAGGAACCATCTTGAGATAGGGCATTTTGTCCTTAACAATGCCTGTCCTCAGGAGTCTGTTTTATCCCAGCCAAACTGGCTAGGTTACATCAGAGCCTGACCTACCAACTCCAGGTGGCTCCAGACTTCCATGCAGGTGAAAGGAAATACACAATTCCAGCCGCCTGCAGTCATCCTGTCCCACCTACAGGATAGAGGAGCATTTGTGAAGGTCACAATTCAGGGGGGCAGGGTCACCACAGACCTAGACCTACTCGTAGGATTGTAGAATGCTTTCCCTCCCCCACACCTACCACCACATCACTAAAGGTCTTTTGACAGCAGTTCCTTCTAGGCAGACTTCATTTCCAGCCTTCAAAAAACATTACAAGGTACACTAAAAGACAAAAACTAGTTTGAAGAGCCTAAAAAAGCATCACAAGCAGATCAGATATGGCAGGAATGCTGAAATTATCAAACCAGGAATTTTGAAAAGCTACGAGTAGTATGTTAAGGGATGTAACAGAAAAAGCAGATGGCATGCAAGAGTGGATGGGCAACAAAAGCAGAAAGATGGAAATTCTAAGAAATAATCAAACATAAATGCTAGAGTTTGAAAACCATTGTAACAGAAATGAAGAATCCCTTTGATGGAGTCATTGGTAGACTCATGGCTGAGGAAAAAATCTCTGAGAGCTTGAGAACATGACAATAAAAACTTCCAAAACTAAAAAACAAAGAGAATAAAAGCTGGGGAGGAAAAGCAGAACATAATATCCTATAACAATGGGATAGCTACAAAAGGTGTAACATACACATAATGAGAACAAAAGGAGAAGAAAGAGAGAAAGGAACAGACGCAATATGCGAAGCAATAATGACTGAGAATTTCCCCAAGATTAATGTGAGATACCAAATCACAGATCCAGGAAGCTCAGAGAACACAAATAGAATAAATGCCCGTTCCCCCCTAGAACTAAACATATCATATTCAAGCTTCGGAAAATCATAAAGGAAAAAATCTCAAAAGAAACCAGAGAAAATAAACACCTTACCATAGAGAAGCATGATAAAAATTACATCTAACTTCTCCTCAAAAACTATGCAAGCAAGAAGAAGATGGAATGAAATATAGTCATATATCACTTAATGTTGGGGATACATACTGAGAAATGTTTCATTAGGCAATTTTGTCCTTATGCGAACATCATACAGTTACACAAACCTAGCTGGTATAGCCTAGTATCCACCTAAGCTGTATGATACAGCCTATTGCTTCTAGGCTACAAACTTGTCCAATATGTTACTACTGTATATTGTAGGCAATGAAACACAATAGTAAGTATTTTTACATCTAACCATAGAAACGGTACAGTAAACATATGGTATAAAGGATTTTAAATGGTACACCCATATGGGGCATTTATGATGAATGGAGTTTGCAGAACTGGAAGTTGTTCTGGGTGAGTTAGTGCTTGACTGGTGAGTGAATGTGAATGCCCAGGGCATTACTGTACTCTACTGCAGACTTATAAGTATTAATGTACTCTAGTGTAGTAGTACTACTAGTGTAGTAGTACTACTAGTGTAGTAGTACTACTAGAGTAGTAGTACTTACAAGCATCACCGTATTCTACTGCAGACTTATAAGCATCACTGTAGTCTACTGTAGGCTTATAAGCACTGTACACTTAGGCTACGCTAAATTTATTTATTTATTTATTTATTTATTTATTTATTTATTTTAGAGATAGGGTCTCACTGGATTGCCCAGGCTGTTCTTGAACTCTTGGCCTCAAGCAATCCTCCTGCCTTGGCCTCCCAAAGTGCTAGGATTAGAAGCTTGAGCCTCTGCATCCAGTCATACATTAAATTTATTTTAAAATATTCTTCCCAGGCATGGTGGCTCACGTCTATAATCCCAGCACTTTGGGAGGCTGAGGTGGGCAGATCACTTGAGGTCAGGAGTTTGAGACCAGCCTGGTCAACATGGTGAAACACTGTCTCTACTAAAAATACAAAAATTAGCTGGGTGTGGTGGCACACACCTGTAATCCCAGCTGCTTGGGAGGCTGAGGCAGGAGAATCACTTGAACCCAGGAGGTGGAGGTTGTAGTGAGCCAAGATATTGCACCACCGCACTCCAGCCTGGGCAACTGAGCAAGACTCCATCTCAAAAAACAAACAAACAAAAAAACCAAAAATATTATTATTTCTTCAATAATAAATTAAACTTAGCTTACCATAACTTGTTTACTTTATAAACTTTTTTCTCATGACTTATTTGTAATAATAGTTAGCTTAAAATACAAACACATTGTACAGCTATACAAAAATATTTTCTTTCTTTATATCCTTAATCTATAAGCTTATTTCTATTTTTAACAATTTTTAAATTTTTTCCTTTTTTTTTTTTTTTTTTAACTGAAACACACACACATTAGCCTAAGCCTACACAGGTCAAAACTATCAATAGCACTGTCTTCCACCTCTACATCGCATCTTTCCCCACTGGAATGTCTTCAAGGGCAATAAGACATATGGAGCTGTCATTCTCTGCAGCACCTTCTTCTAGAATATGTCCCAAAGGACCTGCTCAAGGCTATTTTACTGGTAACTAACTGTTAACTAACTTTACATATATATATATATATACACACACACACACATATATGGGTGTGTGTGAATATACATACATTATAGAAAGAGTACCGTCTAAAATAACAATACAATGTTATTGTATAGTAAATACATAAACCAGTAAGATGGTCATTTATGATAGTTGTCAAGTATTACGTATCGTACATAATTTAATGTACTATACTTTTATGTGACTTGTAGCACAGTAGGTTTGTTTACACCACTATAACCACAGACACATGAGTAATGCATTGCTCTACAATGTTATGATGGCTACAACATCACTAGGCAATAGAAATTTTTCATTCCATTATAATCTATGAGACTACCATTGCATATGCAATGTCATTGACCAAAATGTTGTTACATGACACATGGTTATATTTAAAGTGTTGTGAAAATAAACCCTCTGATATGGTTTGGCTATGTTCCCACCCACATCTCATCTTGAATTGTAATCCCCATGTGTCATGGGAAGGACCTGGTGTGAGGTAATTAAATCA